TTGTGTTCCTTTGTTTTTTTGTTTGTGCGGGGCTGGCCTTCCAAGCGTAATCTACCGTAAACTCCCATCTTGCACAGGGAGGATGAGCGGACGACGGTCGCTGTCGGCAGCTGCGCCTAGACCAAAGGTAACCCCTTCAAAGTTTTGCTCGCACCCAAGGCACGCATTCTGGGTCATGATGTCCCTCATCTCCGGCAATGCCTCGGAATCATGAGCTTGCCCTAACTCCCCCGTACCCGGAGCCGCAGGAGGAGGGCCAAGAAAGCTCTGAGGGTGCACGTGCCACATGTCTGAGAGGATTGCGGATTCGGGACTCGGGGTTGCGGGTTCGGGATGACGGGAGGCGTTGCGGATTTCGGGGCTTTCAATCAGGTGCCAAGCGGCATTGATGGCCGGCGCCGCCATGCGGAAGGCATAAGCGCGGGGATTGCCCTGGCAGCGCAAAAGAGCGCGTCTCTCCGCTCCGAACAGGAATGGCCTGCGCCTGATAGCCTCTACGTGACCTGAGCATCATGGCTGTGAAAGATCGGCTGACAAGAGACGAATCGCGGCTCAATGAGGTCCGCCTCCACTCCACACAAATGACTTCTGTTTCTCTCAAGCCTGGACTCTGTGGACCAGAAGGGGCTGGCCCCGACTCAACCCCTAAACCCCCGAACCCTGAAGCTTTGAACCACTAAGCACTCGAAACCCGAACCAAAACGCCATGCACCCAGCCTCGTAGGAGTACAGGGAGCCGTGGCTCCTCTCAGCAGCACTGAAACCTGAGCTGGCCAGTGGGTTTAGGGTTTGGGGCTTCGGGTTTTTAAGGTTTCGAGGCCGTTATCTGGCGTGTCGCAAGGCTTCCAGGGTGGCTTATGGGGCTATTAGGGTTTAAGGTTTAGGGTTTAGGGTTTAGGGTTTAGGGTTTAGGGTTTAGGGTTTAGGGTTTAGGGTTTAGGGTCATAGACTCTCCAGGCCCCTGGCCGGACAGCTCGCGGGTCTTCCCGAAGAAGGGGCGGTTGAAGGATGCCCAGTACCTCTTCAAAGCTTGTGGAGAGGTTTAGGGTTTAGGGTTTAGGGTTCAGGGTTTTGGGTTCAGGGTTTAGGGTTGAGGGTCGAGGGTTTTGGGTTTTGGGTTTGGGCTTTGGGGCTCAGGGATTCTCATCGTAGACCGTCCGATCACCACCTCCCCTTGCTGCAGATCCTGGCTTCCTTCTCCGAGCATTCCGGCGGAATGCTGTAAGACCCTAAACCCTAAACCCTAAACCCTAAACCCTAAACCTAAACCTCTCCAGAAGCTCTGCAGAGGTACTGGGCATCCTTCAACCGCCCCTTCTTCGGGAAGACCTCCCCCCCCAGAAACTCAGAATGAACTAATAAAACACATGCAGCAATGTAAAGTACAGTCATAGAGTCATAGGATCATAGAATGATGCAATGGTCATGTAGTACAAGAATACAAAATTGAAAAAATGTACTCACATAACAGTATACTGATACAAAAGAGTTAGAAATATAGTAAGCGAGTACTACAGTAATTTAGACATATAGCAATATTCTTATATAGTTATATAACATACGTGAATAATAATCTTATACGCATATAGAATATAAAATATAATAGTAGAATCATATAAGAACATAAGAATACAATAATGCACGAATCTATTTTATAAACAATAATAGGAAGAACAATAAGTGCAATAACAAAAATCAAATTTCAAAAAAGACACATCTTTCAAAAAAACACACATCATACAATGTAGTACTATAAGAGTATAATAATATAAGAGCCCAATCATAATACAATCATAGGAGTAGAAATAGCATGTAACAATACAATCACAATAATATACCCAAATAATCGAATACGAATATCTTGTAAGCATAGAACAGTATAAGACTCTTGTCGTACATTAACAATACGTACAATCATATAAGAAGGAAAGAATAAAAAAAATTAAAAAAAAAATGAAACTTGCCGGCCGGGCCTGTGCTCGCGGAGGAACGCGCTCATGTCCTGCAAGGGAGCGGCCGCGCTGGAGCGATGTTGCAGTTGGGCGCTCAAGGCGAAGGGTTTCAGGGATTTCCGGTTTAAGTGTTTAGGGCGTTGAGGGTTTAGGGTCATTTTCAAAACCTCGGAAACCTTTTCGGGGGTGTCCTAAGCCAGCCCGCCCAGCAAAGTCGAACTCTCAATTCACGAGGCCGGAGACCCTACTTGCGACGGGCCCCCTGCTTCAATGTTCACCTCTCACATTGAAAATCGTGTCCGAAGAACCTAGACCCCGGACCCTAACCTAAACCCTGAACCCTGCAGTCGCCTGCAAACCCCAAGCCCATCCACCCAAGGAACCCCCTAAAACCCGCAAGTCAGTAAGCCCTGGCAATCCCAAAGTGATCCGAAGGCCCCACCTGCATCTCTGAGACGCCAGGGATCATCTCCACCACCCAGAACATACCGTCCGGCAACTGTGGTCGGTGGGCGGTACCGGGCTTAGGAGCTTAGGGTTTTTTGGAGTTTGGGGTCTAGGGTGGCAAGTGAGAATATTTTCATAATGAAGAATATGATCATGTACTAAACTGATAAGAAAAGAACATGAAGATATGAGGAAAATGAATGATATGATAACCTACTACTCTCATGGTCTACAGACTAGGCAATCATTGTACGTCCATCATCTAACAATCTACACACCAATGAAGCTCGAGACTTGGCCCCTGGCTGGCTTGCCACTCTCGAACCTGAAAGAAGGAGCAGAAGTTTAGGGTTGAGGGTTGAGGGTTGAGGGTTTAGGGTTTAGGGTTTAGGGTTTAGGGTTTAGGGTTTAGGGTTTAGGGTATAGGGTTTAGGGTTTTACGGTGGGGTGGGGGCGGGGGGGTCGGGGAGCGAACCAGAGTTCATGCTTTTGGGGTTCGGGATCTTCAGTTCCACAACGTTGAAACCCAATCATTGGGTTCTTCGGAACCGCTGTCTTCCTTGCTGACATATGCAGGCAACTGGGACGTTGGCTTGTAGCTGGCGCAGCTCTTGAGCTTGAATGCACGTAAAACTCCGAATCCCCGCAACCACCCAAGCCCGAAATTCCAACACATGAAGCCAACAGGCCATTTCACGAACCACGAGATCTCCCTCTTCAGGCAAACCCCCCCTAGGAAGCCCCACTGGTTGTAGTCCGCCACCATCCACTGGGCCGCAAAAGTGCCCGTGTTGGTCCGGGAAAAGCGCTGCACCTTCAGGTTAGAATAGAGGGGGCTTGGGGAGTTTGTGGTCTGAGGATTTGGGGTTCAGGGATTTCGGGGTGGGGGGTTGCTGCTGGCCAGTGGGAACAGGAGCCGGGGCTTGGTTCAAGGGTTCAGGGCTCAAGGGGTTTAGGGTTTGGGGATCCCGCGACAGGCTCACGGCAGGCTTCGTCAATGCGAGCTGCCCATGAGAACAACCCTTGTCAGTTCTTTACAGACGTTCAAGGATTGACCCATAAAGTAGCCACGCGGTTCTGGGTTTTGCAAGAGCTTCTACCCTAAATAAACCATGAACCCTAAACCCTAAACGCTAAACCCTAAACCCTAAACCCGAAACCCTAAACCCTAAACCATAAACTACTCAGATAAAGGCTCAGGGTCTGGGCGCGGCACCCAGTCAGGGGAGGACTTCGCCAAGCGGTTCACGGCCATGAGGTGCATGAAGTTCCTGCCAGATGGCTGGGAGGATCCCTGTACTCCCTTGATGTAAGGTCTAGGTAGGGTTTAGGGTTTAGGGTTTCGGGTTTAGGGTTTAGGGTTTAGGGTACAGCCTTGGGTGGTTTTCGTATGGACAAGAACGGAACAGAAATCCTACGGAGAATGTAGATCCACTCACCGTTGTTGGGGAATTCGGCGGGAGGGGGGGGGAGGGGGTCGGGTCCGTCCCAGCTTCCCTGCTTGGAACCCTGGTCCCAAAAACCCTGAAGTCCCTCTACCCTCCGACAACGCAACCCGAAACTCCAGAAACAACCCATGTACATCCAGGGACCCCATGCGACCCTTAAGCCCCAACACACTGAGCCTGAAGTTTCTAGAATCCTGAAACCCTCAATCCCCAAAAAGCCCTGAAGACTCTGTAGTTTAGGGTTTAGGGTTTGGGGAAACAGCTGCAACCCAAGAAATCCCAAAACCCCCCTAAGCCCCAAACCCTGCACCCTAAAGCCCTAAGCCTTAAACCTTAGTACCCTGAACCCTAAACCCTAAACCCTAAACCCTAAACCCTAAAACCTTAGTACCCTGAACCCTGGTGCATCGCTGACGAAACCCCTGGAATCCGAATCCGCCAAGGCGCGGGATGCTCTTGAAGCGAGGGAAGTCCAGGACCCTGTTTGGGGTTTAGGGTGTGGGGTTTAGGGTTTAGGGTTTAGGGTTTAGGGTTTAGGGTTTAGGGTTTAGGGTTTAGGGTTTAGGGTTTAGGGTTTAGGGTCTAGGGTTTAGGGTGTGGGGTGTGGGGTGTGGGGTGTGGGGAGGGTTCGGGTTCCTGCAGGGATCGGGGTTAGGGCTCTTGGAGCTGCTGGCCTTTTCTACCACTGCCACCCGCACTGGTTTCACATCTGGCAAGTGCAAAAGTAGGTGCTTTGAAAGAAGGGAGAGAGAGAGAGAGAGAGAGAAAAAAAAAGAAAAGGAGAGCGAGAGAGAGAGAAAGAGAGAGGGAGAGAGAGAGAGAGAACAAGAAAAACAAAATCGACCAGCTAAACCCTAAACCCTAAAGCAAAAGAGGGTATCCCTGGCTTCGGCACGAGCTGTGTCAAGGCCCGAACTTGTCCCAAACGTTGGGATCCAAGATGACCAGGGACGTCTCCATTGCAACGAGGCCTCTCGCAAGGCACAGCCACAAAGTGGCTCAGAAAGAATTCGACGGTGGGGGCTTTGGAATACATAAACATTGCAGGCTAGATCCGTCTGGCTTGAGGTATGTCAGACAAACCGGAGACGACGAATGCACTCAGGCTCGAGCCGCTGTTCATCTCGTAGAAGTCATCCGTGCCTTGAGGGATGACAAGGACAGGAGACTTTTGTGTTCCAGCGGCTGGCCGGTCATCGCTTCTTTCCCGCGCCGGAACACCAGTGAGCTGCTTGTGGCTGTCCCTAGGCCCCCTTTTTTAGGCTCCCTAGACGGCAGGGGCGCGCAGCGCCTGAGACAGCAGGGGTGGTAGCCATCCTTCTGGGCTGCCAGGCAAAGGCCTGGGACCTCCCGGCAAATGTTCCTTGATCTCCGTCTTGAAGCTGTGGAGCTGCGCGGGGAACTCGAAGCGCTTGCAGAGGTCCACCAAGGTCTGGGCATAGCGCTCCGAGACCTCTGGGTCGTTTTGGCAGTGCAGCACCTGCACCTGCGGGGTTGGGGCATCGAGATCGACATCCCTGGCCTTCAGGCACTGGTCTTGCATCTTGCTTGCTAGGAACTGGAAGGCGGGAATCGCACAGCCGCACAAGATGACCCCCAGCATCTGGGCCTGAACTTTGGCAGGCGCCGTCTTTGAAAGGACCGAGTAGGCAGCCACCGATCCACCCTGAGAGAAGCCCCCGACCCAGATTTTCGGCGCCCTGTCAGAGTCAGAAGGCAGCTCTTGCTCCAGCAGGTTGAAGAGCTGCTGGCAGCTCCTCTCCACTTGCTCCAGGCAGCGCAGCTCTGGAACGCTGGGCTTTCCAAAGGAGACGTTGGTGGCAGGGTCCTTGGCTGCTTTTGCAATGGCCTCTTCCGTGGGCATCTCGTGCATCTCGTACCACTCCATTCCAGAAGCCACGATGGCTTGGTCCGTCCAGGGATGCCAAGACGGCTCCGGGCGATTCGCGACGATGACGCGCAGGGAGCTCGAGGCCCCGCTGGCCTCCAGTGATGCGAGAGCACTGCGCCAGAGCTCGGGTGCCTCGCTGTTGCCTGGCAGCCAAAGAAGTATCTGCTCCGCCTCGCCTGCCGCAGGCCCCAGCTCGTAAGACACCGGAAGGCTCGCACTTTCTGGGGCCATCAGGATCGGGTCGAAAAGGGCCGTCTGCAGCACGGTCTTCTGGACCATCTCCTCCTCCTCCTGCTCGGCCTTGGCCACCTCGTCGGCTTCCCGCTGGGCCTTGCGCTCCTGCGCCTGCTGCGTCGCCGCGGCCTTCTTGCGCTCCCTCTCGGCGGAAGGCAGGCGCAGCAGCGTGACGTCGTGGCCGGCCGGGTACGTGGCCTTGCGGAGGCTCGGTAGGGATGGATGGCGGTCTGCCGAATAGTACCCTGCACTGAACAACTCGTCCCGGGCCTCCTCCAGACGATCGCGGAGCTCCACGCAGATCATCTGCACCTGGTTCAGGGCCTGCTCTTCCTCCGTCGGCCTCCTGCGCACATAGGGCCGCAGCTTCTCCGCATAGTCGGCCAGGTCCAGGTACCCCAGTGGCTCCACCGCCAGCACCACGTCGAACAGCTCCGGGGAGGCCAGGTGCCTGGGCTTTTGGGGCTTTTTTAGGGTTTTGGGTTTTAGGGTTTTAGGGTTGAGGGTTTTAGGGTTTTAGGGTTTTAGGGTTTAGGGCTTGAGGGTTTTAGGGTTTTAGGGTTTTGGTTTGGGGTTTAAAGGGTTTAGGGTTTCGGGTGTTGCAAAAATTGGGCTCTGGCCTCCAACCTCGACCTGCTCCTAACCGTCCTAACCCGTGGCAGACTACAAACCACACTTGTCTCGAAGCCACGCACCCAAAGCAAAGTCGAAACAGGACAGCAGCTAGACCTCTATGAATCTATGTTCTGTCTCCACCTATAACTTCTGCATGCTTCTTGAAATCCACGTCTATACTCATGCACCTCTATTTCCCATGGCTTGCCAACAAACTCTCTCCGCAGGCCCGAGCCAAGCCACGGATCTCCGCTGATGGCTTCTGGCACTGGAAGCAGCACAGTCGTGACACCTTCGTGCGGGGCTTTCCTAAATCGTCAAGCTCTGATGCACTAAACCTTGGGGTTTAGGGTTCAGGGTTTAGGGTTTAGGGTTTAGGGTACATGTGTATATACGTACATATATATATATATATACATGTATGTAGATAGATATATATATATATATATATGTATACATATATATATATGTATATAAACCCTCCAAACCCGAAACCTACACCCTAAAACGCACAAAACCCTGCCAAAACCTGTGAAACCCAACGTAAACCCACGTAAACCCTCAACCCCCCGAATCCTGGCCCGGCCTCTACTGTCCGAGCCACGAAGGCGCTCGAGAGATGTCTCGGCTAGGACGACCTGACGAGGGAGCTGCGATGGTTTAGGGCTTAGGGTTTTACAGGGTTTAGGGTTTAAAGTTTTCACGGTTTTAGGGTTTCTGGTTCTAGGGGTTTAAGAGCTGTATAAGGCATTCAGAGTTTAGGGCTCAATCCGAGTCCATAAACAAAAACTCAGCAACAACAGCGCAAGTTAAAAACCCTAAGAACCCCATAAACCCTGCAAGCCCTATGGACACAACAGAACCCAAAGACCCCAGAGACCCTGCAAGCCCCATAAACCCGAAAAAGAACTTAGCAGAACTGGGGAGAATTTTGGTGCCCTCTAAGCGCTGAAATTTCTATGGGTCTTTATCGGGATCAGGGCCCATAGAACTTCAACATGAAAAGCGACCATCAACCCCAGAGAAGCTGTCCACCCCAACCCCAAACCCCAAACCCTAAACCCTAAACCCTAAACCCTAAACCCTAAACCCACAGAGTGGCAGCCTTGAAGCCCTCCTCCGCCAGGCGCGGCGCCACAGCGCGAGCCAGGCGGCCCAACGCAAGGAGGCGTGTTGCGGACGCTGCCTGGTTCGGGAGTTTAGGCAGGAGTGGGATATAGGGTTTAGGTTTAGGGTTTAGGGTTTAGGGTTTTGAGTTTTGGGCTTAGGGCTTAGGGTCTAGGGTTTAGGGCTTAGGGCTTAGGGCTTGGGGCTTAGGGCTTAGGGCTTAGGGCTTAGGGCTTAGGGCTTAGGGCTTAGGGCTTAGGGCTTAGGGCTTAGGGCTTAGGGCTTAGGGCTTAGGGCTGAGGGCTTAGGGCTTAGGGCTTAGGGCTTAGGGCTTAGGGCTTAGGGCTTAGGGCTTAGGGCTTAGGGCTTAGGAAGGTTCTCGGGGCAGGTGCCTGGGAAGAGGTTGCTATGGTTTGCTATGAGCCTACCAATTCCGAAGGCCCCAGTTTAAACAGACCCTCCAGCACAATGTAGCCTCAGATCCTAAACCCTAAAACCCCAACCCTACATGGAGAAACCGGTACTCTAAGGTACACTGCGTGTGACATGTCCCACCATGTCTTCGCTCCCGAATTCCCCTGAACCTTAAACTCCCTGAAGCCTTAAACCCCCCTCCCCTCGAGGCCTCCGCTGAGCCCAGAAGCGGCAGCAGAGCCGCTGCCAGCGCGCTGCCCTGGCCGGGCGCGGGCGCAGCCGGGCGGCGCTCTGCCTCTGCAGCGGCCTCACAGGGGGGGCTTGGGAAGTTTAGGGTTCAAGGCTGAGGGCCTGAGGCGCCGCATTTTGGGCTTAAGGAGGTTCATTTCTTCGGGAGTCTAAAGGGTTTCGGGGTTTGGCGACTTGGCAGCTTGAGTTGAGCTTTAAGTTTAGGGGATAGGATAATGAGGTAAAAAAAAACCTTGGGAGCTCTTTGGCGGCACACCCCGTCCTTTGCAAGGTTCTCACCCACCACCTGCCCTGCCAGGGTGCGGGCATCGAAAATCTCCTGCATGACGCGAGACTGCTGCTCCTCGCTGAGGCCCAGCTCCTCACTGGCAAATCCCTGCCGCATCTTCTCCTTGGTGACCTTGCTGGCGTGCATCAGTCGCAGGAGCTTGGCCATCTGCGACCGCGTGTCTGCATGGTCACTGCGAATGAACCGCTGCAAGAGGCACACGAGGGTGTTGGTGGTAACCTTGTCAAAACAATCCAGTTGACTGCAAAGCTGTCCCACCAACTCCGTGGCCGCAAAGATGGACTGAGGCTCGGAATCACCCAGCACGCTGTGCAACACTTGAACTGCAGCCTGGAAGCAAAGGTCCGTGTGGTCTCTTGCGACGCGCATTCCAAGCTCCGTGTCCATGGCACACTGCAGCACGCTGCAGGCACTTCGGCGCTGTGCGGGCCCTGCCAAGGTTGCCTGGAGATGACTCTGAACAGGGTTAGCCTGAGGCCAAGGCAAGTGCAAAAGAGGCATGAAGACGTGGAAGCCTGCCAGCCGCTTGGCGACCTTGTCATTGTGCGGATGGCGCTGCACCAACAGCTCTAACAGAAGCAGCGCCTCGCCGGCAATGTTTGCAGGGGCCACGACGAGGGGCACAAGTACACCCCAGCCAAACGGCCGGTCCAAAACGTCCTGCGCCCACTCCTCGGCCGGTGCTCGGGGTGCAATGCCTTCTCGTGGAAAGTCCTCACAGCCCCTATCGCACGTGGCCCGGAGGTGCGCGACGAGAAATCGCATCAAGGCTGCCGCCAACTCCTCCGGGTGGAAGGCACCGTACCCCTTCTTCAAGGTCTGCGTGGGTTTGAGCTTGAACCACTCCATCTTCACGGTCTTCACTGTGCCCGAAGGCATCTGTATGTCTCGATGGACCTCCACGCCGGCATCCCTGCGCAGTTTGGCAGCGCAGGAGCCCCAAGCCTTGCCGACCAGCTCGGGAGAGAGGGATTGCAGGATCCTGGGGTTCTCGGACCAGGAGCTGAGCAAGGCCAGCACAACCCGGCGCACAGCCGCGCCGCTGTGCAGGACGAAGCCACCGGAAAGCCCGGAGCCCAGACGCTCGCCGATGAAGCACTCCACGAAGAGGGCAAGGGCCAACGCCTCCGAATTGTCCAACCGATGTGTCTGGGCTGCTAGTTCCTGCAAAACCTCCGAGGTGGCGGCGCGCACCTCATCAAGGCCCTCGCTGCCCAGGCGGTCGTCCAACATCCGGGCCCAAGGGCGGAGGCAACGGGCCAAGAAGCCCTTGGCCTCCACCAGGCTGTCGGCCACGAAGAGCCTTTGTCTCAGCCGATGTCTCAGGAGGGACCGCACCAGCTGCAGCGCTCGCTGCGGGCGTCGCGTAAGCTGTGCCACCATCCTCGGCATGGCCGACAGCAGCTTCCGCAGCTCGCCCTCGCCGGGCAGCTCGGGAGACACGGCGCACAAAGCTTGCAGCACGACAAGGGGCCAGGCTTCATCTCCGTCCTCGTCCTCGGAATCCGATGCTGACGAGGACGAAGATGTCGAGAGCGCGCCGATCACCAGGTCCAGAATGCCATGACCGCGCAAAAGGTGGCCCAGGGATCGTCGAAGATCGGGGTCCTCTGAGACCCTCGCCTCCAGGCGACCCAGCTGCCCAGCCAGAGCCTCTGCCAAGGTCGCAAGCTGCTGCTCTGCTGCGAAATCTTGGTCGTCTGACTTGTCCTTCTGCCTGCAGCCGAGTTCTGAACTTCGTATTAGCTAAGCCTATCGTGTGATGCAAGATGCCCTACAGGAAGCTTCAAGGAGGCGGGTGAACAGATCAGATAGTGGTTAGCCTGCCAATGTCAACTCCTAAATCTAAAAATGATGCGGATACTGGCCTCGCCCACTCGCTTGCGACCTGGCGCAGCTGCCGCGCTGCCTTGTGGACTCCCAGCAGGCCATGCGCCGCCTCGGTCGTACTTGCCGCCTCGGCCTCCTCACAGCTACGCAGGACCTGGGCCTCCTCATACCAAGCCTCCAGCTCCGCACTGGCTCCACGTGGGCCCCGCAACCGTGACAGGGCCTCGGCCGCGCGGCCCAAGTGGCCCAGACCCTTCCAGGCCTTGGCGAGGCGCACCGCGGCCTTGGCGTGGAGCGGGTCCCGGGCCAACACGAACTCGCTGTCTTCCAGGGACTTCTCCCAGAGCTGCTGCCGGAGCCGAGCCTCCGCACGGTTGGCGAACAGGGCGAGCTGGAGCTCCCGAAGGGGACGCGAGGAGTCAACGACCTCGTCGTAGCCCAACATCAGCTCAATGGCCTCCCCATACCGCATCTCTGCTTCAGCAGACCGCCCTGCCTTCATGGCAACATTGCCCTCTTCTTTAAGGGACCCAGCGGCACTGAGGAAGTGCTCTTCCCAACTTGTGGCACGGACATCGGTGGGTCCAGGCGGGGGGCCGTAGAAACATTGCCAGCCAACGCCCGGAATCCGGACGTCGTTCGTCCGCACACCATAGAAGGGCTTTCGGTCCTTGGACACAAGCCAACCGAACTGGTATTTCTCATCGTCCGATCCTATCTGGTCAAGCTCCGGGACTCTGTCCATGTGGAGGATCCAGCCTGCGGCGTTCTGGTAGACGGGCGCGCCCTGAGAGGAGGCTTCGCTGAAGTCGTATCTGCCATTACACTCTGGCAAACCACAGCCCCCAAGCTCGTAGCGACATGCGGCCTCTGAAAGGCTACAGCCGTCAAGCTGCTGCTGGGCATCCCCTCGCCGACGCACCGCCGCAGTGCCACCGTCCCCTTTCTCCTCCAGGTGCAGAACCGTGCGGCTCTCCCTCACCTCCATGCCCATCTGTCTCTCAAACTCCTCCGCCTCGCGCTCATCCATTTGCTGCTGCCGCTCCTCCTGGCGGTGCGCGTGGATCTTTCGCAGCGCCTTGGGCGGTGGGATCGGCTTGTTGCCGACATGTGCGTAAAGGCTGCCGTCTTTGTCGGCCTGCCTCCCGCCACCATATTGCTGCTGCAGCGCCCTCAGCGCATTCGGGTCGCCCAGCCGCTGCGGCGCATCCAGGGGAATGGTGGCCGGCATGGCTTGGCAGGCCGTAACTGAGGTTGTAAAACACCACACAATGTCAAAACTCGAACGCTGGGGTGGGTTGCTGTAGGTTTTTCTGGCAATGAAAACTAAACCATGCAAAAGCAAACATTGTCAGCGTGCAAGGCCTTCAAGGCCCTACCAAGCATGGGCAGCGCCTCACAGACCTTCAATAGGACCAGATTGGGATGTTCCCCTTTTACTAGCAGGCCTAACTAAGGATTGTAATATCCCCTTTTATAAGGTTTAGGGTTTAGGGTTTAGGGTTTAGGGTTTAGGGTTTAGGGTTTAGGGTTTAGGGTTTAGGGCTTCGGGTTTAGAGTTTAGGGTTTAGGGTTCAGGGTTTACTGTTAGTATAAGGGGGAACATCCCAAGGACCCGAGCTTGCAGGCTGGTGGAAGAGCTGACCGCTTGCATCAAAGATGTCGGAAGTCACTGATTCCCAGTCGTCACAACGTTCCCTGAATCTGCCTCCCCGGAATGCTAGACGAAACACCCTAAACCCCAGACCCTAAACCCTAAACCCTAAACCCTTCTCACAAATACCGATGCTTCCGGACATCGATCCTAAATCTTACGAAAACCCTCAGCCGAGTGCCCCGGCTGGTGATGACACCGGGGTAGGATGAGAACGAGATCTTGGTCGCCGCAGTCTCTGCTTCCGGCAGCGAGAAATTGTAGAACCTGCGTTGGGCAAACAAAACCTTGGAAGGCCTCAACACCCCCCCCCCCCCCCCCCCCCCCCCCCCAAAAAAAAGAAGAAAAAGCAAGATACAAGAACAAAAACTCTAAAGCCCTAAACCAGACGTGCTACCCATTTCTTCATTTAGTTACTGGCACTTGTATTTGTGTATTCATTTGTTTATACACACACACACACACACACATATATATATATATGTGTACATACATATATACACATATACATATATACAAATATATATATATATAGGCGGGCGCGGGATTCAAGACGCCCCTTATTTCCCTGTGACTGTCTTTGAAGTGTAGTTTTTTCTTGTATTTGCCGTCTGAATCGGGTTCCTTAGAGACTCAAGACAGATTCTGCTCCGACAAAGCCTCGCTGTTGCTTTTCATTAGGCTTTCATTACTAAAACCTCCCAAATTACCTCTTCTTAATATGGCCGAATATTTAAGACGCCCCTGGGTTCTTCGCTCATTTCTCCGACAGCAGCTTCACACCATTGAAGATGATGATGTGTGATATGTTGCGATGCTGATCATTTAGTATGGTCGAAACACTGGGCCTGGAGCCTCACACTTGCAAGCCTAGTCCAATCCAATGACACTCCAACCCCTGAAATCCAAACAACTGACCAGCGACACGGCACTTAAGACTTACCAAACACACCTATGCCGGGCGCGGGGCCTACATATTCAGCCTAACCACCTGATCTTATGGTAAACACCCGCTTCCGGAAAACAAAATCGCCTTCAAACACCAGAAACCTCTCTTTCTTAATTTAAAACCAAGGGACGTCTTAAATCCCGCGCCCGGCTATATATATATATATATATATGTATATAACTCTTCCGCTCAATCCGTCGCCCCTAAACCTTCGAAGCCAAGGAAGGCACTTGAAGATCCGCATCATCTTGCTGTAGTCGTCCCAGGTCGCGTGGCCTTGGCAAGGCAGCTCTGCGGGTTTGGGGTTTGGGGTTTGGGGTTTAAGGTTTAGGGTGTAGGGTTTAGGGTTTAGGGTTCATGCATATTTGGGATTGAAAAAGTAACCGAAAAGACTTGTTTTCTAATTTCGTGATTGGGTCCTGCGTTCAGGTTTGGGACTCAGGTTTTGTGGGTTCAGGGTTTAGGGTCCCGGGTGTAGGGAACGTGTTGACAAGAGACCCACCACCAATTGGTGCCGCCAGCTTCGGGCATTCAGACTTGCGGCTCGGGCATTTGCTTGGAACCCCTCTTGACTTCGTAAGCATGAGGAGGGCTGGTAAGGTGGGTTCTGGGGATTGTAGTGGGTAGACTTAGGGAGCTTCCCACTAGAGTTCCACAAAACGGACCCTGAAGATCGAGGCGTCAGGGTTTGCCACAACCTCGGGGCTGAACACCCTGGCCCAAAAGAAGGTTGCCTCTTATGTATAGAAGGATTCTATATATAGCCACAAAGGTTCAAGCGCGACGTGTGCACAAGCGAGTCCCCAGCATCAGGCGTGAGACTGGCTAACATATGAATTAGATCTCAACAATCAGGTGGGAAGCCCACCGGGAGTGGTCTGGGTACGTGGTAGGGGATGCGAGAGTTGTACTTGAGGATATGGACCCCTGGGGATGATCAGGCTTTCAGGGAGCGTCCTGACTTCCTCCGACGAGAGGACCGGCGCGATTCGGAGAGAGGGAACTACGTTGGTAAAAGCCGTAGGAAGCTAAGGACCGAAGGTGTTCTTTTGCCACCGGCGTGAGGGGTACCTTGGCGTGAAGGAGGTCGTATGCTACAAAGGTTACAGGTTATCTACCCAGTCCCTCAGGCCCTAAACCCTAAACCCCAAACCCTAAACCCTAAACCCTAAACTCTAAACCCTAAACCCTAAACCCCTTTGCGAGCGCGCAAGGATGTCTTTGAGTTTCTGGGCTGCTCGGCCCATGTAGAGGTCCGCATCGCCATCCGCCAGGCGAACGAGTGCAGAGCACCGGCCGCTCCTTGTTGCATCCATCAAATTGGGTTTAGGGTTCAGGGTTTAGGCTTTAGGGTTTAGGGTTTAGGGTCTAGGGTTTAGGGTCGAGGGTTTAGGGTTTAGGGTTTAGGGTCTAGGTTCTAGGGTTTAGGGTTTAGGGTTTAGGGTTTAGGGTTTGGGGTTTAGGGTTTAGGGCAAGCTCCCAGTACTTGCAGGGTGGGGCTTTGGGGGCCGAGGGCTTCCGGCCAGGTCTTAGGGCTTTTGAGCCCAGGGATTGTGAAGGATGGGCTGTCATTGTACGTCGGGTCTCTTAAGGGGGGGATCCTTTCTACAAAGGACGAACCGGAACCTGGCCTCTAGACAGGGGCAGGCCTTAGGGTTGGGGAAAGAGAAACAGTAGAGCCCCCCAAAGTGCTAAACTTGGAGGTTTAGGGTTTAGGGCTTGGGAACCTCCAGCCTATAGTACAGGGGCAGGTTTAGGGTCTAGGGGCAGGCCGAGCTCGGCGCCAAGGACAAGCACCCTAAACCTTAAACCTTAAACCCTAAACCCTAAACCCTAAACCCCCAAACAGTAAGCTTCAAACCTGGGATCCCTGGAACTAGAAGAGAACTGCGAGAAGGAGGTAAAGCGTTGCCGGAACCCCTGAGGGGCCGCACTCCACCAGGCGGCGTTCCCAATGCACATCGTCCAGAGGATCCTAGAGCTCGGGGACGGTTTCGGGTTCAGGGTTGGTTTAAGGTTTAGGGTTCAGGGTTTAGGGTTTAGGGTTTAGGGTTTAGTTTTAGGGTTTAGGGTTTAGGGTTTAGGGTTTAGGGTTTAGGGTTTAGGGTCTAGGGTTTAGGGTTTAGGGTTTAGGGTTTAGGGTTCAGGGGGGGGGGGGGGGTAAAACGAAAGCAGTCTCGGGTTGGGGCTTACTTGGAAGCTCTCTTGACTTAGTAAGTCGACTTAGTATCGCCTAAAAACCCTACTGCAATCCCTATAGTCCACCTTACCAACCCTACTTGCTAAGTCAAAGAAGGGCTGGCTCTTTGGGTTTGGGGAAGTCTCCTCCGGGTGACTCTGGCTCCGCTGCTGCAGGAAGGAGGGCGCCTCTTGCAGAGATTCACAGCCCTGGACCCAGGACCTCTAAGCATGTGACTTGACCTTATTGCAGGCTCTTCTTCAGAGGAGCTTGGGAATTAGGGGGTCCCTTCAAGGGCTAAACCCTAAACCCTCAACCCTAGTTCCTTGAGGAGCCGAAACCTCCCCCCTGCACCTGGGATCGAGGAGCGCGGTGCTCCTTCCTCTCAGGGGTGTAGGCCTGTCCACACATGTAGGGTTCGGGGTTTGGGGTTGATGGTTGAGGGTTGAGGGTTTAGGGTTTAGGGTTAAGGGTTTAGGGTTTAGGGTTTAGGGTCTAGGGTTTAGGGTTTAAGGTTCAGGGTTTAGGGTTTAGGGTTCAGGGTTTCGGGTTTAGGGTCTTACACCCCGAAATAAGGTACCTGATATCGTAAACCCCCACATGTACGGGGCACAAGAGTTGAAACCTTTCGGAGATCCGCCCTACTTGGAAGCCCTGTTGACTTAGGAAGTAGGGTTAGCAAGGTTTCTGGGGGATACTAGGTAGACGTACGAAGTCAAAAGAGCTTCTAAGTAAGCCCCAGGGGATGGGGGAATATTGTGCTGGGACCTAAGAATGTTTTTAAAAAATATTTTTTTAAAAGCATGACTTTGGAGATTCTGTTCGTAGGCAAGGTGAGCTTTGAGTCCCAGACCTGACATTGAACTAACAACCCCATACACCCTAGGCCCTACAGTCCATCCCTCCCCCCGAAAAAAGTATCTAACAAAAAAGCAAGCCCACGAAAGCCCTCTAAAGCCTAAACCCCAACAAAAAACTTGCATCACCGTCAGGGCAAGACCGATTCTTATGAAACGAATCAAGCGCAATGGCTTCAAGATCATGTTGTTAAACACAATGCTGGCCTGTTCATTTGAACTACTTTCTATGAGAATATTTATGTGGGATGAGCAGGAGCTGTGCTGGAATTGGCGCTTCGGGTTTTTAGCTCCCAGCAACCTCGACGTGGCCCCTGGCCGATGCGTCTCAGCCTACTCAGCCTTAAGGATTAGGTAGTTGTACGGTTCCCAATGTACACAAGCACGACGGAACAGCATCTCAAAAACCTGCATACGGCAACCAACCTTAAATTGAGGCCCCAAAGCTCAGGAAATTTGAGCCCCGAGCTTTCCTAAACCTGCGAGCGAGCGCCACGTTCCCTAAAGGCACAGACGGCACCCTCCGTGCACTTTTTGTGTGACCTTCTGTCGGGGAGGGCTTCGGCCCTTCGGGCCTTGTTTCCCCAGTACTCGTCAGAACGCCAGATTCGACGCTTGGGGGTGCCGTCGGTGAGCCAAACCGCCTCCGACGTCGTGAGCTCGCTCTTCTTTGGGCTCGTTTCATTCGGCGCATTGGCCGCGACCACGGGAGCAGGGGTACCAAGAAGGCATGGAGCCTTCAGCGAGGCGGCCGGGCGGCGGAGTCGCATGGCACCTGCAAAAAGGCCGCAGGTTTCTGTGTACTCTTCAGATGCTTCAGGGCTGTTGGTACTCTGCTACTAATTACCGGAAAATGTCGAACCCTACATAACACGGCTGAACCACAACCAGGAGGCTCACGGAGCCACGCGGGGGCACTGTCCATCCTTCCGAGGGAGGCTGCGCAGCCGTGCTTGCATGGAAGGCCCAGCCAGGGTGGTCAAAGTCCAGCTTGGGCCCAAACCACCAACCATTCCACTCAGCTCCATCACTGGCATCCCAGTAAAACAGGATCACCCTCGTGGTGCCCTCCGCGCCCAGTTTCCTGTAGGTGGGCCTGCCATGGTTGGCATCCGCCTTGACATAGGCTCCCTGCAACAATCTATGTACAAAGTCCCCCGAGTCCGCCTCTAACACAAAGGCGTCCGAAGGCAGCACCTGAAACGCCCTGGAGACATTGAAGCAGAAGCGCTCCGCCACCACCTCTGCCAGTCGGCGCCCGAACTCGTGGTAGCCTTTCATGACCACGAGCAACTAGCATCAGCATGACGGTGTCTCTGCGGTTCCTTGAGTTAGCCGAGAGGCCTTGGGTAGTGAGGTGGTATGTGTTCTCCCACATCTCGGGTGCCAATGTCTTGAAAATCTTGTCGATGTCGATGATGCCATCCTCCTCCAGGCAGTAAAGTCCAAACTCCACATGTGCTGACACGCACGCGACACTCCGAGTAACGAAAGCAATGCGCATCCGGCGCGTGCAAGCTTGCACCTGCACGCCCAAGACACCTTCTTCACAGAAAAGTCCCCTCCTTCAGTAGCTCCCTGTTCACCTGACAGGGCGGGTTTGGCGGTTCAAGACCTGGACCCTTGCCCACCAGGCAGCCCTGCAAGGACAAAAGAGAGGCTAACTCTCAGAGCAGCAGACCAGGATCAAGCCTCCCCAGCCACCTGTTCTCTTGCGTTTAAAACGTTGGGGTTTAGGTGGCTCAGGGAGTTTAGGAGTTTAGAGGCGTCAGGAGGCACTGCTGAACAAACAGGCCCTAAGCCCTAAACCTAAACCCTGAACCCTAAACCCAAAACCCGGGGTTCATTTCGAAAAATACCTGCCTGATCGCAAACCTCCCCCGCATGCGGCCACAAAGTCCTGGGCAAGGGATGCTTGATGGGGTCGGAAACCAGGCGTGCCTCTATTGGACTCTGTAGCCGCCGTGCTACCGCACTCTTGCGCAAAAAACGAAACCACAGCAGCAGAACCGCTCATGTTTCAGCCAACCCAGCTCCTGTCTTCAAGGTTCAGGTGCAATGTGCACAGGATCACTTCGATTCCCCGGGAAGACAGCAGCCGGCGCAGTCTCATCAAGTTGGAAACTATCCCAGCAGCCTGGGGCGGAGGTGGGCTTGCACCTTTTGGGGCATGGCTGGCTTAGAGCTGAGACGGCTCATCTAGGGCCTATTCTGGGCTTACTCTGGCTTATCTGAATTCGACGCTTTTTGCGGGAGTAAAGAGGCTTCTCTCTGCTTAAGGCTGGTCGGCGGTCTCCGAGTAGACGTCGTTGCTGCCAATCACCACCACTGCGAAGTCGAGAGCTTCACCTCCAGGGCGGGCAGTGTCTTAAAAAAAGGTCCTGCACGACATGTTCGCACAGGAAGATTTCGAAGGCCGCCGCATAACCCTAAACCCTGAACCCTAAACCCTAAACCTTTAAACCTTTAAACCCCCTGCCTGTCTTAACCTCTGAGAGCAAGGGGATGTCTGCCTGTTCCAAGGTGCCACAGATCGAGGTCGTGCTCACCTTGACAGAGGGCGAGACATCAGAAAAGCTCGCCATCTCCCGGATCCTCAGCTCGTGCGGTTTAAGGTTTAGGGTTTAGGGTTTAGGGTCTAGGGTCTAGGGTCTAGGGTTTAGGGTTTAGGGTTAGGGTGTAGGGTGTAGGGTTTAGGGAATATCGACCCGAGCTGCCTTAGGAGCCCGCAGAGCCGCCCCAAGCGTTGCGACGTGCATCCCGGGAAGCCTATGGAAGGCATCGGGGGTTTAGGGTTTAGGGTTTAGGGATTAGGGTTTAGGGTTTAGGGTTTAGGGTTTAGGGTTTAGGGTTTAGGGGTTAGGGGTTAGGGGTTAGGGGTTAGGGGTTTAGGGTTTAGGGTTTAGGGGTTTAGGGTTTAGGGTTTTAGGATTTAGGGTTTAGGGTTTCGGCTTTAGGGTCTAATGGTTTAAGGTTTGGGATTGGGGGTTTAGAGTTTAGGGGTTTAGGGGTGTAGGGCTTGAGAAGGTTGGGAGAGTCGGGCTTTGGAGGATTTAGGGTTCAGGGCAGGCTGTTCTGAAACTGGGTCCCTGTTCTACAGAGATCTTTGCCAGAACCACCACATGAAGATGAAAAAATGGGCTCTTTTCTTTCGAATAAAAAACGACCTGTTCGTTGCCTCCATCAGTCTTGCTGCCGGCATGTGCGCAACACACAGGTTTCTTCCGGAAGGATGTTCGGCTCGTGACGAAAAACAAGAAAATGACCAGGAGTCTGGGCGCATGTTTGCGCAATTTGGCTGCACAGAAGCATGGGAAGCTGCCCGCGGCTGTTGCAGATCCTTCTTGGACGGCTCGGCTGCCAAAATGTTCCCTTGTGCTTTTTCGCACGCGATTCTTGCTGGGTTTGGGGGAAGTTTTAGGGTCCCTGTCGAGCTTCTGCACGGCACTTACCCCCCGCCCCTGAACCCCAAACCCTGAACGCCTCAACCCACATCCCTGAATCCTAACCTTCTGAATCATGGTTAATTATTTGCTTACCCCGTAATAAAGGTGTCCCATGAATAGTCGTATGATAGTCAAACACAGCCCGTATTTCCGGGGGGTTGCGGTGACCACATCGTCCTTGTCACTTATGGCGAGTTCTCTATATCAGGGTCCTGGTCTTGGGTACTCGGAATAAAAAGCTTTGCATACTCATAGCAACCCCAAGGCAGGCTCATGATGTCGGGAACTGCCCTTGGAGACTTAACGGCCCGGAGCCCTGACCCCTTAAACCCTAAACCAGAACGCCAGGTCCAAAAAATGCAAAGCCCAGTGGCCGGCCACAACCAACTCCACGGGACCGAGTTTCCTGGGTGGTTTAGGGCTTAGGGGTTTCGGGTTAGAGGTTTAAGGGTTTGGGGGGGGAGGGGCCCAGTTAGGCGTAAAATCTCGGATCCAGCAAGGAAGTAGAAACGAAGGACCCCATTTTCGGCTTGCTTCGGTGTATGTGGGCTGCGACCCGCCCTGGAGATGGGGATAAGACTACTGGGCGTCCTGGTCTAGGTGTTGGAACGCTAAACCCTAAACCCTAAACCCTAAACCCTAATGCCTGGCACACAATTTCTCTGACAGCCTGCCAAGGCGCTGCGAGAGTAAATCCTCCCAGGGGCTTCAGGGAGCAGCGTTGAGACTGGAGTGCATGGAGAGGAAGCACGCATTCATACATATACCTGCCCTGCATACCGTGTAGCAAGCCTTCTGCACTGCATTACATCTTCAACCCCTCTGTCCATCCGCAAGAGAGAAAGAGAGATAGAGAGAGAGAGAGATAGAGAGATTGAGAGAGAGATTGAGAGAGAGCGAGAGAGAGAGAGAGAGAGACAGAGAGAGAGAGAGAGAGAGAGAGAGAGAGAGAGAGAGAGAGAGAGAGAGAGAGAGAGAGAGAGAGAGAGAGAGAGAGAGAGAGAGAGAGAGAGAGAGACAGAGAGAGAGAGAGAGAGAGAGAGGCAGAGAGAGAGAGAGTGCGACAGAGAGACAGAGAGAGAGAGACACACACACACACACACGTTGACTTGTCTGGAACTGATGAGACGGACATTCGACAGGACAACATCAGGCATAGTCAGTGACCATCGTCGTCATTGTTTGGGCTATGTTTCAGGCCCCAGATCAGACCATAGGAATGATCGTTGGGATGCGGGTTCTGTCCCTTGTGTCGTCGTCGTGCCAGACACCACGAATGGCATATGTTGTCGTCTGGGAGGTGCAATGCTGACGACAACATGTAACACGTTGCGGGGATGACGTTTCTGTCCCCGTTGAGGATACCAGCTGCGGACGCAACCACCCAGGCACTCCTCATAGCAGGTACATTTGCACGTCTGCTACTCATGGTCTTCGTTGGTCCCAGCATGAGTAGCAGATCTGGGACCCCCTGCATGAAATCAAAAAACGGGCGTGACCCCAATCCTGCATGTACAGCAGGTTACCGGGTACCCCTGCGTCTGCAAGTTGGATGATCCCGATGACATGTCTGTGCTCGCACTCACTCATGCCACAAAGCCTACTGCAGATGATCCCGATGAATGAGTATCTCAGTCAGCAGAGCTCAGTCAACGGATGCCCGGGTCTTCTGGGATCTGGTCCCGTGACGGGACAACACGCCAGAACCATACACACGTTGACTTGTCTGGAAGTGATGAGACGGACATTCGACTGGACAACATCGGGCATAGTCAGTGACTATCGTCGTCATTGCTTGGGCTAGGTTTCAGGCCCCAGATCAGACCACAGAAATGATGGTTGGGATGCGGGTTCTGTCCCTTGTGTCGTCGTCGTGCCAGACACCACGAATGGCATATGTTGTCGTCTGCGAGGTGCAATGCTGGCGACAACATGTAACACGTTGCGGGGATGACGTTTCTGTGCCCGTTGAGGATACCAGCTGCGGACGCAACCACCCAGGCACTCCTCATAGCAGGTACGTTTGCACGTCTGCTACTCATGGTCTTCGTTGGTCCCAGCATGAGTAGCAGATCTGGGACCCCCTGCATGAAATCGAAGAACGGGCGTGACCCCAATCCTGCATGTACAGCAGGTTACCGGGTACCCCTGCGTCTGCAAGTTGGATGATCCCGATGACATGTCTGTGCTCGCACTCACTCATGCCACAAAGCCTACTGCAGATGATCCCGATGAATGAGTATCTCAGTCAGCAGAGCTCTGTCAACGGATGCCCGGGTCTTCTGGGATCTGGCCCCGTGACGGGACAACACGCCAGAACCATACACACGTTGACTTGTCTGGAACTGATGAGACGGGCATTCGACAGGACAACATCGGGCATAGTCAGTGACTATCGTCGTCATTGCTTGGGCTAGGTTTCAGGCCCCAGATCAGACCACAGCAATGATGGTTGGGATGCGGGTTCTGTCCCTTGTGTCGTCGTCGTGCCAGACACCACGAATGGCATATGTTGTCGTCTGCGAGGTGCAATGCTGGCGACAACATGTAACACGTTGCGGGGATGACGTTTCTGTCCCCGTTGAGGATACCAGCTGCGGACGCAACCACCCAGGCACTCCTCATAGCAGGTACATTTGCACGTCTGCTACTCATGGCCTTCGTTGGTCCCAGCATGAGTAGCAGATCTGGGACCCCCTGCATGAAATCGAAAAAACGGGCGTGACCCCAATCCTGCATGTACAGCAGGTTACACACACACACACACACACACACACACACACATCTCGGCTCTGGGGCTGTGACTGTCGGCTGCGTGAACTGAACCCTGAAACTCCAAACTCAAACCCCAAAATCAAAGCTCTCACCCCCCAAAGGTCTCCCAAAAAAAATTCGGAGTCTCCGACATCCCCGAGAACCCATCCATCCCCATAAACCCAAGGCTTGCACCCAGAAAGCGGGGGCCCATGCCTTCAAAGCGTTCGCAGCCGGGCGCTGTGGCACTCTTTGTCCTGGGCAAAGCAGGCCACCCCTCCACCTCTAAGCCCGAAACCAGAAACCCTAAACCTGAACCCTCAACCCTTCAACCCCAACACCCGACACTAAGCCCTCAACCCCTACCAACCCGAAACCCCAAAACCCTCAAACCCAGAAACCCTCAACCCTGATCCCTGCAAGCCGAAAGAACCAAACCCCTGAAGCCCTAAACCTAAAACCCTGAAACCCAAAAATATCAACACCGAAAACCTAAACCCGAAAACCTAAACCCTAAAGCCCAAAAGCCTCAACCTTAAATTCCCCAAACCGTAACCCCTCAACTTCAATAGTATGGGGGCCTGAACAATTAAAATGAGATTTTTTTTTTTGGGGGGGGGGGGGGGGGGAGGGGGCGGGGGGGGTACTATAGTATAATTACAAAGGAACCATAAGCGAATATTATTAGTAATTATTCCGACCCCTTAGGGTGATTTCTCTAAGTTATGGTCCTTTTGGGGGGGGGTCCTTAGTATAAGGCGGCCCCTCCTAGACTAAATAAACCCTAAACCCTAAACCCTAAACCCTAAAGCCTGAACCCTAAACCCTAAACCCTAAACCCTTTTTTTCAACCCCAGTAGTGTCCTTCCTCCGTCTCACGGAAGTCCGTGACCCACGAGTCGCCCAGGAAGGCGGCACGGAGCGGGGCCATGGCACAGACTTAGGGTTTCGGGTTTAGGGGTTAGGGTTTGGGGTTCAGGGTTTGGGGTTTTGGGTTTAGGGTTTAGGGTTTAGGGTTTAGGGTTTAGGGTTTAGGGTTCAGGGTTTAGGGTTTCGGGTTTAGGGTTTAGGGTTTAGGGTTTAGGGTTGAGGGTTTAGGGTTTAGGGTTTAGGGTCAAAGGGCTTAGGGTTTCGGGTTCACTTGGACCCCATGAAAACCCTCCTAAGCCTAGGCCTTGAAGCCCCATGAATTGATGGGGGGGCTCGGAGGTGGAGCTCCCTGCGGAACCGCCATGCGGAAGCAACGGCGGCTTCCAGGAAGGTTTCGGGTTTAGGGTTGAGGGTTGAGGGTTGAGGGTTTAGGGTTGAGGGTTTAGGGTTTAGAGTTTGAGGTTGAGGGTTTGCGGTTTAGGGTTTAGGGTGATACTTGACACATCACCACTCTAGAAGGGACCCGGCGATCAAGTCTCTCACAGCTCTCACCTCGGGACTCTGTGCCCTCGAAACTGGACCCCAAGAGTAACCTAGGAAGACAAAGGGCATTTCTTGGAACTACAGGCGCTTATAAGGGAACCTCAACCCTAAAGAAAGGGGAATAAGGGCCTACTCTGGGTCCTAGCCCTAAACCCTAAACCCCAAACCCCAAACCCCAAACCCTAAACCCTAAACCCTAAACCCCCAAACCCTAATATAACAACAAAATCAAGAAGGGCGGGGGGGAATAGGGGCCTACTCTGCCCCCTCGAAAGCAACGACCTCGAGCGACCCTGCCTGGATCAACTGCGGCAGCTCGCCCCCGGCCTCAGCTAAGACCGGGTGCTTCAGGGTTTAGGGTTTAGGGTTGAGGGTTCAGGGTTTAGGGTTTAGGGTTTAGGGTTTAGGGTTTAGGGTTTAGGGTTTAGGGTTCAGGGTTTAGGGTTTAGGGTTTGGGGTTTAGGATCCAGGGTTTAGGGTACTGGGTTTGGCGTTTATAGGGTTTAGGGCTTTGGATTCGGCGTTTGGGTAGCTAACGACCCTGAAAAATCCAAGAAGCAGCCGCGGAAATATTTCAGCACTTTGGGAGGGGCAAACCCTAAACCCTAAACCCATAAAAAACAGGCCCCCTGGCATTCATGAAGAGCATGTCATCCAGCTCCAGCGTCTCGCCGCCGAAGCGCAGGGACGCAGCGTTGTAGCCTCGTTTGGGCCGGTTTTCATAAGAACCCCAAACCCCGAATACCGGCTTTTGAAGTTCTATTACGAGAGTACTGAGTTAACAATGTGACTGGCATCCCTTGTCGGCTGAGGCATCGGCCATCCAGAAGGCCCCACATCTGAAAGAACCTGCTTTGCAGCGCGCATCGTTGCTTTTTGGGAGCCACAGCACCCTAAACCCTAAACCCCAAACCCCAAATCCTAAACCCTAAACCCGGTGATAAAAGTTCCATGCGCGACCTAAGCCGAGCCACAAAGCCCTCAACCCTGAAACCCTGAACTCCGACCCTTCGTCCCTTCTGAAGCCCGAAGCCCTTTGTAGCTAACCCCCCAAACCCTAAACCCTAAACCCTAAACCCTTACCCCAAAACCCTAAACCCAAAACCCTGAACCCTGAAAACCCTAAGCCCTAAACCCATCTCAGGCCCAGGCGTGTAGCGCACCTGCTTCCAGTATGGGTCTTTGGGCTCTTCGGCGAAGACGTGCTGCCTTCGAGTGCTGGGTCGAAGGCTTGGGCTCTTCGCAGGGAGTTAGAAAAGTAGGTGCCGTATATGGGGGGTTGACGATATTCGGGGTCTCTTCTTGGGGTGCTTTTATGAGGGAATCCTGTTACTTGGGGGTTCCCAACGCACGCATTGCACGAGCGAGCGTAGTTGAGGTTTCGGCTCGGAATGCTTGGAAAGTGCCTCCAGGAAATCGGACAGGAAGGCGAGAGAAGGTGGGTACTGGAAGGACTCATGTAGAAAAGCGCTTGGAACAGCAAAAGATAGACAGCAAAAGATAAGACGACGATACTTCCCGTGTCTGGAGAACGCTTGAGATTCAAGGGGTAGAAAAACGATGTTTATCATGGAGTGACGCTTTTTTGAAACAGCTTCTCGTGTAGCTCAAGCGGCAAACTGGAAGATTATCGCCGGCTTGGAGCTAAACCCTCAATTTTAAGCCCTGTTCCCTAAACGTTCCCTAAACCCTAAACCCTAAAGGCCCTAAACCCTAAGCCGCATTTTTGTGGGACGCTCGCAAGAACCAGAACTTGGGTGAACTTAGGCATGACAACGATTTTTTGCAGAGTGTTCACCTGGGCCCCCCCTAATTAAACCCTAAACCCTAAAACCTAACCCCGCTTTTCGCTTCGGAGCTCTCCGAAGACTGATACCACTGAGCTCCCAAGCTCCATATTCGTCATGAACCGCGCATGAGCCATCCTGCCACGCTGGCGGCGTCTTCAGCTTATGGGAAATTGCATTGGGGTTCGGGGCTAACAGCCTGGCGCTTGGGGGAGCCTTCGCAGCGGAGATCGGACGCGGACGAAAGTTTTAACAGACCATATGAAACCGAAACCGGCTCTCATCCTTATCCCCCACCCATTTGCAAGGTTTGCTGGCCAACCCCAAGGCTCTGCCAGCCGGGCTGATTTTGGAAGAGCTTGCGGATGCCGGGCAGAGCGTTCGCCTGGGGCTTGGGAGGACAAAAAGCAAGCTCGTACGGCACGCTGTTCCAGGGTTTCGGGTTCAGGGTTGCTTGGGGTTTGGGGTTTGGGGTTGAAGGGTTTCGTTTAAGGGTTTCGCTCAGGCAAGAAAATTGGATAAGGTTCCAACCGTTTTGTCCTTTTCCAGGAGAAGCCTCAGTCTGCACTTTATCTATCACAAGCTGGATTTACATTGTCTTAGAAACTGGGTGGCTTGGCAAAACGCGCTCTGTTGACATACCACATTCACCACAAGCAGCTGGCGCACTCCAGAACTCCGTTCTGGAAAAATTCGGTGGCAAGCGGGATCAAGTACATCTCTGCTCCATCCGTGGCATCACGCTCGGTGTGGCGCGCCGGCGCGGGTGCTGACACTCTAGCATCGGGGCGGTGCGGGTGGGGTTCAGCTTCCAGCGACAACTGCACAAGCTCTTCCGTTCTGTGCACTCTGCGTGCTTCGCGCACGACACTGCAAGCTTCGAGAAAAATCCCTCGCTGCAACACCTGGGCATCTCAATCTGCCCCCATTCAACGTGACAAATGTTTTCCTCGCTGCGCTGGCGGACGAGGCAATCAGCTCTGTAACTCCATGGATGTCAACAAGACGTCCGTTGCTTTTCCCTTGCGCGTGTCGTCCTTCTTCGTGAGGGCCGGAAGGTACCGAGCAACAGCCGCCCTGTCCCAACGCAAAAGGGGGTTCATTTGCAGTGGCGAACCTCTTCCCTCAATCGCAGTGGGCCACCCAGGTGCGAAGACGATGGCAACATCAGCGCCTTCTTGGGCGCAACAACTCCTCATCCCAGGAACTCAAGGATTTGCGCCAACATCCCCTCGCGCTCATGTTCATCGTCAACGCTGCCACAACTCGCTGCCCCTTTTCTGCGTTGCCTGGTCTGGTGGTGGTTTGCCATGACACACACACACACACATATGCACCCGCGCAAAGAGTCGGTTGCGCTCGCAGTTGAAGGTCGCTTTGGTCCTATGTGGACATCGATGCTGGGCTCCAGAACATCCCCCGGCCCCCGGCTCGTTTTGCTTTGCCCGGCCTATGCGAGCTCCGCCTTCGGTGTTGGCGGTGCCGCTTTGGCTGTTCCCTGATCTCATCGTTGAGGGTGGCTTTGGGGAGTCCAATGATGTGTCACTTGCTGCCATGGCTACAAAGACTATGGAGGAGGAGCCCTGAAAAGTTCATCCCACTGCGTCAACTGAGGCCCTGCATGAAGCGGCCTCGTCACCGAGTGTTTGTGAAGCAATGTGCGTGCGGTTGGCGGGCGGGGGACAGATCCCAATCCTGAAGGGTGCCGGGAAACTTCTGGCTGTTGGCGTAGAATTCGGAGATGCGAACGCACGTCAGCAGACCCTCGATGTAGCCAGCCGCCTTTGTTCAAAGCTCAAGATCACCCTTCCGTTAGGGGCCCATGCGGGTTTGGGGTGCAGCTTTCGAGGGGCAAGTCGCTACGAGCTTGAATGGAATCTTGCTGCAAGCTACCTGTCTACTTAGCACGTATGTTGCAATTGGTAGCTTTGGTGCTTGGTGCGGGATGCCTGGTGTCAGGTAGGACGTCACAGCCGGTTGGTCTTTACCGCACCTACACCTGCAAACAACTGTGGGAGGAAAACCCTTGCAAGATTCCGACCGTTCAAAAACCCCCACAAGGACCCTAAACATCCTGAAGCACTGAAGCACCCTAAGCCCCAAGACCCGAAAAAACAAACCTTCACCCTAAACCCTAAACCCCCAAAGAAATCCTTCACCCTTGAACCCCACATCCGCAAGCCGTGACATGCTTGGGGCCCCCAGCATACATCTTGATGTCATTCGCCATGGTCAGATCGTCGGACGTCTGGACTTGAAGCTCCGACCTCAGCGAGATTTCTTTGCATGGTTTATGGGATCCGAAACATGGGCTTGGGCCCCCTGTTACATAGCCCTTATGTACGCTTAGCACAAAAAGGGGCCCATGCTTCAGATCCCTTTAGATCCTTCAGAAGAGTTCTGTGCCACAGTATCTCCAAAATGCAGAGATGATTGACCACATGTGCTTTGCTTCATGGCATCCTCAACACGCTTGAGAGGTGAACCTCATGTGCTGATTAAATCATCAGCTGTTTCACTGTTATGGATCGGATTGACTCTCCAAACCCCGGAACCTCCAACCCCAAACCCCCCAAACCCCACACCCCAAACTCTAAACCCTGAACCCAAACCGGCAGCCCCACAAGCGTAAACGACCTTACCTCAAAACCCAAAGTCTCAAACCCTCTCCTGTGATTTCTCCGCAAGCTCTCTTCGGCCCTACTAAACCCTGAAGCCCTCAGACCCTTAAACCGTCAGACTCGCACCCATAAACCCTTAGAACCCCCTAAGCTCATAACCCTAAAACCCTAAATCTTGAAATCTTTAGAACCCGTAGAACCCGTAGCACCCTCAGAGCCCTCAGAACCCTCAGAACCCGTAGCACCCTCAGAACCCTCAGAACCCTCAGAACCCTCAGAACCCTCAGAACCCTCAGAGCCCTTGAAACCCTCAGAACCCTCAGAGCCCTTGAAACCCTCAGAACCCTCAGAGCCCTTGAAACCCTCAGAACCCTCAGAACCCTCAGAACCCTCAGAGCCCTTGAAACCCTCAGAACCCTCAGAGCCCTTAGAACCCTTAGAACCCTCAAACCCCCTCTAAACCCCAACTGCCCTAACTCACTGAGGCTCCTGGCCATCCAGTAGTGTGGATGTTATCATGGTACTTTCCCCAGGCGACGCCGCCTTGGGGCCTCAGTCCCGCCGGGCTTAGGGTCTAGGGTCTAGGGTTTAGGGTTTAGGGTTTAGGGTTTAGGGTTTAGGGTTTAGGGTTTAGGGTTTAGGGTTTAGGGTTTAGGGTTTAGGGTTTAGGGTTTAGGGTTTAGGGTTTAGGGTTTAGGGTTTAGGGTGGGGACCAAGTTCTGGGGATTTGGGAGCCACAGCTTGTATGAAAAATCTAAGGGTTAGGTAGGGCTTTATTGGGATGCTATTTCGGGTGATATACACGGTTGCTCTCTCTATATGCAGGCTTTTTGGGGGGGGTTTTCAAGGCTATGCTGGGTTAGAGTTAACTCACATCAAGCACCCCAGGATCTGGCATCTTTCGAGCCCTTCGCCCTCGCAGCTTGAACGCATGGCCATCCAACTATGGTCCCTTGTTATCCGGAGACTTGAAAAGAGGGCCCCAAGAAGCAACCATGATATTCGAAACTGCACGCACGGGTTCCTATAACTTGGACTATGTGTGTTTACATGTTTTTATGTATCTACAGATATATGTACATACGCGTATGTTGTATATATATATGTGTGTGTGTGTGTATGTATCTGTATGTATGTATAGATACATGTTTATATATATATATATACAAATGTATGTATCTGTATACAATGTTCTGGTGGTACATTTAGCAGTTCCAATATTTTAGGAAGTCCGCGTATGCCAAATCCGAGCCGTGCACAACATACCAGCTTCCAGCTTGAGGGATCGGACGGTCTTGTCGAAGACCATCGTCAGCCCCTGCTGGCATCAGGACTTCGGAAGTTTACTGCAAGGACTGACCGATCCAAGTGGAAAGGGTTTCGGCGGCCAACTTGCTGTGAGAAAATTGGCCAAAAAATCTCGGAACGCTGCTAGTTAACCTTGGAGGCTGAGCTTCAGAGGCAGAACAGAAGCAACACTTTGTGACTGTCAAACTGCTGGATGGAAGCTTCGCTGGTAGTAAGAAGACTCAACCACTAGCTCAAGCCACAGTCAAAGTACTGCAGTCTGGCCTCATCTTCCTTGAGGTCGGACCTAGACATTGTCGGGGGAGAGGGGGGTGGGGCCTATTAGGGCTTGCGAGTTTTCGGGAGTTTCGGGCTTAAGATTTGAAGGTCTCGAGCCGGGTGGCCCTCACCCTTGCCCTCGCGAGGCTGTTCTGAAGTCGCGACCAACAAAAGCAAATCCTGCACCACTCAATTCCACAGGGTGGCCCAGAGAGCCAGAAACAACGAATCCAGCTGAGGTCGCGACAGATCTAAGTTGTAACTGACCGGAAACAGCGGCTGCTGCTTCCTGAGGAACGCATTCGATTGGAGGACTGCCTGTGTTGGGGACCTGAACGTTGATGCAGGGGGTGCTGCATCACCCTAAGCCCGAAAGCCCCTAAACCCTAGCCTTGTAGGCCCTGAGAATTTAAAGGGCGTCAACGAAAGTGAACCCATCCCAGTTCTATTCTCTGGAACAGGCTCTTCGAATGCAAACGGAAACCCTCTTGCCGGGCCTGGCTATCTTTGCAGGCACAGGACCGCCCGCCATGGCCGGCGCGGGCGAGGCGGCCATGGCCGGCGCTGGCGATGGAGCCTGGGGCAGGAAACCCCCTGCTGATGCCCTCTTCCCAGCTTGTGTCCGGGGCCTGACAAGAAATTCTAGCGTTTAGGGCAACCTTTTGTGTGTAGGTGCCTAAACCCTATACCCTATATAAACCCTAAACCTAAACCTCGAGGGCAGAATCAGCATGCTGCCCAAGGAGCCACTCTGAGGTGTCCTTGGCTATCGAGGTGGACATGTCGTTGGCCCTCGACCTCAGTGTGTTTGTTGAAGCTCCAGGCAGGCGTCTCTTACTGTTGTTGGGCTGTCTCTGTATGTCCGCATTTGCGAGGCTGCAATTAAACCCTAAGCCCCCGGCCCTAAGCCCCCCCCCCCTCCCAAAAAAAACAAAACACACACACACACACACACACACACACACACACACACACACACACACCCACGCACGCACGCACGCACGCACGCACGCACGCACGCACGCACGCACGCACGCACGCACGCACGCACGCACGCACGCACGCACGCACGCACACACACACACACACACACACACACACACACACACACACACACACACACACACACACCCCAAACCCCCCAAACAAGCCCCAAACCCTAACCCCCACAACCCTAACCCTCAAGCCTCAAGCCCCACACTTTTCCTGAGGCCTCGGCCGCCAAAGAGCAGCCGAGTTGCGCAGTGCAGGCCGCGAGGAGGACCCTAAGAGTGCAGAGGCTCAGGGCTTTGCGTGGTTTTTGGGGTTGAAGAGGCTTAGGGTTTTTGGGCTTTTGGGCAAAGCCCAAACCCACCTGAACCCAGCACTACACCCCAAAAGGCCTTCCACTCCTCTCTCAACCCCAAATGTTTTTGGTCCAACTACACCAAACCTCACCCGGACCTAGCTAGAACTGCCATGCCCCAACATATCGCCGCTCGCCTGACCGAAGGCCATTTCCACAAGACCTCCAGAGACTGCTTGGCAAGGTTTAGGTCAAACTGTGTGGCCTGAACCCTCGGTTCGGGGTTTGGAGTATAGGGTTTAGGGTTTAGGGTTTAGGGTTTAGGGTTTAGGGTTTAGGGTTTAGGGTTTAGGGTTTAGGGTTTAGGGTTTAGGGTTTAGGGTTTAAGGCTTAGCTTGAAGCGAAAATCTGCGTCGATCGAGAAACCCTCGAGCCTAAAGGTCACAAAAGCCCTAACCCTGAACTCGCAACAGCAACTCAAAAAACGCGAAACCCTTAAACCCCGAAACCCTAACTCAACCCAAAAACTAAAACCCTGGAGCTCTAAAGCCGTGAAACTCCAACCCCCAAACCCTACGGTAAAAAGCCGAATCCCTCAAATCCCCTTATATATAGATATGTAGATGTAAATGTAGATATAGATCTAGAGTAAACGTATATAGTGATCATGATGGCTACTTTCAATCATAACGACAAGAGTAAGAAGAAGATGATGATCATGATGATGGTGATGATGAAATCTGTGATAACAATTGCAAGAAAACATGATGGTAAAATAGTGGCTACTGATGGCCGATAAGAGGTAATAACGGATAGCTATATTTATACATTCCCATATTTGCATGTATCTATATCTATATATATATATGTACTTATATACAAGTATGGATAAATCCAGGAATGTATGTGTATGTTTTCTTCAGTCATGTGTTTGCTTATTTACACCTGCGTCTATTTTTATCGGCTCTCGACCACTTCAAGCTCCGAGCCGTCAGGGCCATGCTAGCATTGAGCGGGGAGGAGGCAGGGGTGCCAACCTTGGGACCCTTGGGCCCTTGGCAACGCGGCGCGGACGGGGGCTCGTAGGAGAAGGATTCCTCGTCTTAGGGCTTCCTTTGCGGGATCTGTATTTCAGGACCCCCTCATCTTCGGGGTGTCTCAAGGGCGGACTGTGCGTTGAACTGGCCATGTGGTTTGGGGTCGGGAGCTTAGGGGGACATCTTAGCGGGCTACGCGCTTCAGACTGTGGGGCATAGAGCTCCTGGGACAGAAGCCATGACCATGAGCGGCAGCAAAGCCGTGCGGAATGTCACAGGGTCCTTCTTTTCACAGCACGGCGAAGCAATGGCAGAACAGCAGCTCCAACAAACTTGCAGCTCAAGAAGACCCGTTCTGCCGACTTCCGAAGTCGATGTCGAAGCAAGTATAGCAGAAGCATCTGTGATTGCGCTGAAAGACTGTCCGGATATCCTGCTGAACCGATGCTAGGAATTTGCTCTATGCACTTCCCTAAACCCTAAACCGTCCAGGCTGCACCTTTTTCTCGTAGCCTGTGTCTTGCAGATTGTCTCAGAAGCAGCTCAGATGAAGCGGCCGGCATCCAACTTAGCAGGAAAGGCACTGAGGTTTAGGGTTTAGGGTTTAGGGTTTAGGGTTTAGGGTTTAGGGTTTAGGGTTTAGGGTTTAGGGTTTAGGGTTTAGGGTTTAGGGTTTAGGGTCTAGGGTTTAGGGTTTAGGGTTTTGGGTTTTGGGTTTTGGGTTCAGGGATCCGCATCTGACCTTGATCTGGTCGCTTGCAAAGTTGCATGCGAATGCCGTGCGCTCTTGTTTTTTGCCAACGCAGACTTGGTCTCCGATGCTCATCATTGTCTTGCGAATGATCCCCCTCCCCCCCCCCCCCACATTTTCCTTGTCCTGGCCGCTGGACCTGGGAACCACTTTGAGTTGCACACACATGTCCTGAATAATTCGGACTGGCAAAGCAGCTGGCCGTTGCAACATGACCAAGTGTTGTCGTGCACCTCCTTTCTTACTTGTTGCAGAACTCCTCGATCCTCCCACAATCGCATCTGACTTCCTCCATCTCGAAGCTTTTCAAGGTGCTCGAAAGCGAGATGCCGCGGCTTCTAGCAGACACCCCCAAACCCCTGTTTTCGGGCAGCGCTGCGCGACAGGAGCCAGCTCCTGAGCAGAAACCTGCTTGTATTGCTAGGAGCCAGACCCCGAGTAGTTGCGGCCGACCACCTTTCCCGTGCCCTTTCCCTGCCCCTTTCCCTTGCCTTTGCCCTTTCCCTTGCCCTTGCCATGCATGCTGAAGCTGCCCCGGGACTCGTCCGTAAGCATGCCTGGCGAGCCCTTCTCTTCCACGCCAAGTTGGCACAGGCACCAGCAGATGATGGAGATCCGCCCCTTCCCATCCTGCTCCTGATCCGGCAGGGCGTTGACGCCGTGCTGCCAGATGATGTTCCTCAGATCACTCTCCACTAGCTGCGCTCTTGTCGACTCTTCAGGTGGGAGGTGGGAGGGAGAGGGGGAGGAGGGGCGCTCAGACCAAAGGAAGGGGTGGAAATAAGTACCCAATCCCTTTTTCGACGTTTTCTGATGGACCTCCTGACACCAGGATCATGCTGCCCGGGTGTCACGTCACGCCCGAAGTAAAACAGCATGCCGTTCTTCTGGGGAAAGTAGATCCTGAGGCGTCCGAGACAAACTGAAACAAGCCAAGCTCAGATATGTGCAGGGAACCCTTGCACGCCCCCCCCCCCCCCCCGGCAAAAGCAGGCCAGCAAATGAATTCATTCTCCCCCTCAAAGTCGCACAACGAATTTGGGGGGCCCTACACTGACCCCAAAAACCCCACACGAGTCCCTCTCGACATGCGCACAAAGTGCAAACACGGAATCAGAGCCCTGCCATACAGGCCCCAGACTCAGAAGGTCTACGCTCCGAACTGCCCGAAACCCTAAACCCTGAACCCTAAACCCTAAGCCCTAAACCCTAAACCATCCTAAACCCTAAACGAACTTCAGGTTTAAGTGCCCGATGTGCGTCAGCTCCCCGGTCGTCGCATGCCGAAATGCCAACTCCCTGGGCGCGCCAAAGGAGATTCCGATGGTGCCTTGGAGCTTTAGGGGCTTCAGGTTTAGGGTTAGGGTTTAGGGTTTAGGGTTTAGGGTTGAGGGTTGAGGGTTGAGGGTTGAGGGTTGAGGGTTGAGGGTTGAGGGTTGAGGGTTGAGGGTTGAGGGTTGAGGGTTGAGGGTTGCGGGTTGAGGGTTGAGGGTTGAGGGTTGAGGGTTGAGGGTTGAGGGTTGAGGGTTGAGGGTTGAGGGTTGAGGGTTGAGGGTGTAGGGTGTAGGGTGTAGGGTGTAGGGTTGAGGGTTTGCGTGTGGTCTCGGGGGTCAGGGATTTGCAGGGGATTTGGGCCCCGACATGGACTTTCCCGCTAATTTCGGGCTTTTGGGGCGTGGGGGGTTGAACGCAAGAAGCACCGAAACAGCTCCGAACGAGAGAAACTCTGATCGGTCCTCCTGTGGAAGCTGGGAACTGCCTTGCTAATCCCTAAACCCTAAACCGTAAACCCTAATCCCTAAACCGAAATACTTAGGAACCGAATTCCCCACATCCCTCGGCAAGCCGAGGACAGAAAGATAAACACCCAGCGAAACCGGAATCTAAGAAGAACTCAACAAACCCAAACCCAAACCCTTTGCGACCTTTGAAAGGAGAATATGAGGAAGGACTGTACCAAGGGGTATGCTGAACATTTCTTAGACTGCAACACTCTCAGACCCCAAAACCCTGAAGCCCTAAGCTCTGCAACCCTAAACCCTAAACCCTAAACCCTAAACCCTAAACCCAAGAGATCCGGGGAGCAGTTCTGGTTCGCGGCGCGGGCGACATTGAAGGCAGCCTCAGGACTGGGCGGCTTAGGGGGGTTGAAGGACTTCAGGGCTTGCAGGGGTCCAGAGGCTTCGGGTTCAATGTTCAGGTGTAGCGTCATAAAGTCCTTCCCTGCAAGCTGCTGCAAGCTGCTTCAAGCAGAAAAGCTCGGAACAAAGACACAGAGGACTCGAAAAGAAAGGAAACAGGAGATCTCTTCTCTGAGGCCGACCAGCAGATACGAAAGGAAAAAGCTGCGCCGGTTGTTGACGCAAACAGTGTAAGACCACGACGTAGGTGCCTCGCAAGCACTTGGAGGAGCACAATCCCAGGTCCAAAAGCCACGACAGTTCTGTACTACCCTAAACCCTAAACCCTAAACCCTAAACCCTACTTCACGAGGAACACACGCATGGCACTGAGACGGGAGCACGTTTTCGACCACGAGATGCACGGGGCGAAGGCAGGACCACCTTGTAAACATTACTCTGCTGACCCATTTTTTCTTGATTCTGTTACTATTTGATTCATGATTATATACATATATATTTTTTTATTTATTCTACCACCAGAACCTCCTCCACCTCGATCAAGTCCATCTCCAGCATTTGCTGCTGTATACAAACTACTATCATCCATACTCAAACTGGCACAACCAATCTTCTGGAACATGCTTTGCATGTTGAGCCAACTGCCACGCCTTATGAGTAGCAGCGTGCGCGCAACACTGCCGCAGGAGCACGACTCAAGGGCTCCCAAGCGACGAGGAGCACGGAAGCGCCGTTTCGAACCCCGCGCACATCCCCAGGTTCTCGCCACGTGCAGCGATTAAGGCATCAAAAGGCGCACAAGAACGAGGCGCGAGAGCGATCTATCTCGTTGCACGATGCCTAAAACTTGTTTTGCTTTATGATGAAAGCCGCAGCCGAACAATCGACTCAAAGTTGACGATGGACCCCAGTGGGAGAACAACTACAATACAAACAAGAAAAAAAGAACGACGGCAACAGCAATGACAATGACAATGATAGTAATAGTAGTAGTAGTAGTAGTAGTAGTAGTAGTAGTCGTCGTCGTCGTCGTCGTCGTCGTCGTCGTCGTCGTCGTCCGTCGTCGTCCTCGTCGTCCGTCGTCGTCGTCGTCGTCGTCGTCGTCGTCGTCGTCTCGTCGTCCGTCGTTCGTCGTCGTCGCCCGGCCGTCACGTCGCCGTCGCCGTCGCCGTCGCCGTCGCCGTCGCCGTCGCCGTGCGTCCGTCGTTCGTCGTTCGTCGTTCGTTGGTCGTCGCCGTCGCGTCGTCGTCACCATATTACTGTCACCATGGCAATAGAAACCCATTCATATTGCCGACAAATAACACCCATCAGGCAGCTGCGACCCAGAGAAGCGTCTGGGGGGTGAAAGGGCTTCCAGTCTGACGTCCCCCTCTCTCGGTACCAATTGAAAGCGCGTTGCCGCGCTGTGTCCCCGCGCAGCCTGGAAGTATTCGCCTGAGTGTTTAGGGCTTTTCTTGGGAGAGATCGGATATGATTCGGCTTAGGGTTTAGGGGGTTTAGGGTGTAGGGTGTAGGGTTTAAGGTTACAGCACCAACGCTTGCCTTTTCCTGCCGAAAGTTCGGCGCTGCATATGGACATCCCAAACACAGACCCCCAAACCTTGGGAAGGCACATAGGGGTTGTGAACAAACCTTTGGCCCCCTTTCATATATAATTGCTATGTACACATACGTATACGCCAGGTACGCTCGAATTCCTTACAAGAAGGCTTCCAGTTGATGAACAACTCTCCATGAGTTTTACACTCCACATCATGACGTCGACCTGACCTCTGTGCTCTGAAAGCCAACCTTCTCTGAAAGCCAACTTGACTTACTGATTCTAGGGAATCAAGTAATCCCTTGAACGGTTGTATAGGGGGGCTACAAGGGAAAAACACCCAAAAACCAAGTCCGGCCGAAAGGCATATGCGCTCCACCACCTGTCAGGCGGCAGCTGAGGGGGTTATACTTTCAGGGGGGCCGCAGTCTTACAGGGTTCAAAAGAGGCTTGGAAACTCGGGCATGGGCTTAGAGAGTACGAACTTTGGGGCTACGGGTTGATGTAACCCCATCAGGCCCGAGGCCCCTCTTGATGGGGATCTTTTGGGATGTCCCCCCCTTGTACTAACAGTCCTTAATGGGGATTAGAGTACCCTGAACCCTAAACCCTAAACCCTAAACATTTCAAGGGATCTTTGCTGCTCCAGGAGGTTCCGGCCTTGGTATAGGTCGCCGACCCCGTGGGGTTCTGACCTTACACCGCACATCGAAACGCCACACCCGCAGCAAAGTACTCAGGGTTTAGGGTTTTAGGGTTTAGGGTTTAAGGTTTAAGGGTTTAGGGTTTAGGGTTTAGGGAGGTCCTACCTACAATCGCAGCAAGGCAAGAGCAGCGGCCGCAAGGAGCAACCGCTGAAGTCCGAAAAAAACCCAAAAGAGCCCAATAACCCTTAAATAGGGAATTATACCTCAAATCATGCTAAGGATCCCTCTATAGCAGGAATATATTCCTTACATCATGTTAAGGATCCCTGAATAATGCAAGGCATATTCCTTAATTGAGGGGGACCTTAAGGTCACAAGGTCAAGCTGAGGTGCTCAGCAGGTGAGCACCCTCGTGCCAAGGGACCCACTCGGCCTGAGGAGCCAAGAAAATTTCTGATCTCCTTTGCCCAAAAGCATTCCCCCCCCGCCCTGTAGGACCCCCCCCCATCGCTTGGAGGTGCTGCAAACCCATGCCGTGGGGGGTCCCGCCTGTCGGCGGCTCCAAAGGGGGCGCTCCAGAATGCGCGCATGAAGTTTCATAGGCATTTGGCTGTTTGGGTGTCTTTCCTGGGACATCCCCTACCTCCTGGGACCTTGCCGCGAGTACTGGGACCCTTCCCTGCAACTCCCCTCTTTTGAGTCTTCCTGTCCTGGGGCCGGCCCGACTGCCGAGGCGGCGCGCGCAAGCGTTTACAATACTCCTCTGGCTACGGCTGGCACGTGGCTCTAAACCGGACACGCTGACACAAGCTTTGCCCAAGATGCCCTTTGAGACCTCTTGAAACTCAGCATCATGGACTCAGGCCTTGCGCTCACCCTTCGCTTGACTGTCGCGCATCTCCTGAAGGCAGTTCGTTGAGGTAAGCGGCATGTGGGTTTAGGGTTTAGGGTTTAGGGCTTAGGGTTTAGGGTTTAGGGTTTAGGGTTTAGGGTTTAGGGTTTAGGGGTTAGGGGTTAGGGGTTAGGGGTTAGGGGTTAGGGTTTAGGGTGCTACAGTAGCAGTCAGAAAGCTCACAGCCCCATGATGGGGGTCCTTGATCAGGGTGTAGTAAGTGTCCCAATCCTCTTCTTTGCAGAAGAACTCGGGGACCACGATCACGTCATCGTGCTTCACAGGAGCTGCATACCGATGGGAGGCAGGAACCTGGGCATCTCTCTTTCGGAAGCCAGGTTTATAGGATCTACGAGGTTTAGGGCTTGGGTTTAGGGTTTAGGGTTTAGGGTTTAGGGTTTAGGGTTTAGGGTTTAGGGTTTAGGGTTTAGGGTTTAGGGTCTAGGGTCTAGGGTCTAGGGTCTAGGGTCTAGGGTTTAGGAATGGTTTCGGCTAAGGGGCCTGCGTGGTCAGGGATCCCTATCAGGCAGCCAGGGTGAAGGGGCAGCGCTAGGGGCCCAATTGTCATATGAGGTCGGATCCATATTCTGGGTATCCCCCTGAAAGAAAACCCTAATATGTACATTCACACCAAGATTTTATGAGCTGCCCTAGAAAGGATACATGCAACAAGAAGATTCTGATACCCTCTCCTTCTCCTTTCTCTTCCTTTCATGGGGGGCTGGGAGGCCGCTCCGACTCCACCGCCTCCACGACTGCCGCTACTACCCACGGCAAGTACAACAACTGCCACAAATACAGCCACTACCATCATTTACTAAATGGATAATGCTGTACTCATGATACATCACGGATTCAGGTTTAGGGTTTAGGGCTTGGGATGAAGGGCTTCACCCCCAAAAAAAAAGACTCCCAAAAGGCACTATATAACTCTGCTCACCGGCAGGCTGTAATCACACGCATGCTGGGTCGGTTTGGCCATGAGGGCGCCGCTTCATGCTCCACAGGCGGTTCCTCCACAGAGCTGTGGGTTTGAGGCTCCAAGGTCTTACAGGCTTCGGCGCGTGGAGGTCACCACTGCCCAGCCCTTCCTACGAGAAACTAAGTATCTTGCAGCGAATGCTCCAGGGAAATCCTGTCTCATCCTATTTGGCAAGTTCATTTGTTGAGGTCAAGTGGTTGAAGATTGCACGCCAGGAGCTGTCATGGGGCGACCCCCTCTCGAAGCAGAAACACAGCCGGGCCTTGGTGGCATTGACGGTGTCTGACAGTGCCGTCTCTTCCACGGCTTGGCGGCTGCGTCCCGAGACGGCGATGGAGACCTGGTCGCGCTCCGGCTGCTTGGACTCTCCGGGAAGCCAGCTGCTGACGACCTCGTGGCCCATGAGCAGCAGCGTGCCGTTCTCCTGCGGGAAGTACAGGATCTCCCCCGTCTTCCTGCGCTTGAAGGCCAGCTCACAGGTAGCGCCCAGGGACAAGTTCAGCATGCAGCTTCCCGGGCCTGTGGCTTGTCCGAAGTTGCGGGATGCGAGTTCTGCGATCTGGCCGCCGCGGTGCCAGCGCACGCGGAAGGTGGCAGAGTCAGGGTCCACTTGGAAGTACTGGCACATCCGCGCACCCAAGCTTTGGACGGCTGCCACGTCGCTGGGCTCCGGCTGGCCTCTCGCATCTTTCGCATCTTTCGCAAGCTGCAGCTGCTGCAGCTCTGCAAGTAGCCGGTTCAGAATCCCAACGTCGCCCGTGGCGCAGAGCAGCTCGGGCACAACCACCACGTCGTCGGGCTTGGTCTGTGCCCCGAACTCATGCCCCTTCCTGCCATAGACGACTCGCATGGCCGGTCGCACCAGCGTGGACCGCGGGTCAAAAGATGCCGTGTTGCGCCCGTGCATGCCCTTGATTCCCATGGCGGCCTTTTGTGCCTTTCCCAGCTCGGCGCCCGGGAAGTAGCGGGGATCGTCCTCCACCTGCGCCAGGCGCCCGTCACGGTCGTAGCCGGGGCGCGGCAGGGGCTGCAGCTGGTTGCGTCTCACACGACACTGCACATCCCGGTTCACACCCAGCCCAGCCACAGGACGGCTGCAGCTGAACCTCCGCTTCGGCTCCCTCAAGGTAGCAGCGCAAAGGCAGCAGGCAAAAGGAGCTGCCTCGACCCAGGAAGGAGATGAGCTCAGCAAACTCGGATCAGGGCTCCTTGAAATCGAACCCAGCAGGCAATGCCTCAGGGAAGGCCGCGGCGATGTTCTTGAGAGCTTCAGGTTCCAGAACATCTGGTCCAGATCTGCCCAGGATATCTCGGAGAGCTCCAAAGAATATCTCGACTGCAGCACCTCAGGCAAGTGCTCAGGAGCGCAGCCAGCATGGCCTGCTGGACATCCCTCTCAAGCTGCGCGGGGCTCTTTTCCCATGCAGAGAGAGGAACTCAGCAGCGGCTCGAAGAACTAAAGGCTCACTATCCTGAGCCAGTGCCCTTGCCTTCGACAAGCTGTCGTTTAAGGTCCGAAATCCCCTGAAAGCATGTTTCCACGAATCTGAAGCCACCTAAGCCTGACTATGTTGCCTATGGGCCGTGCTGCAGGGCTTGAAAAGGTTAACTCCGTCAAGCTGCGCACCTCCTTTCGCGACGAGACCAGACAAGGCTCCAGACGAACTGCATGGGTGAGAACTGGCTACGTACTACAAGGACTCGTGCCCCTCGAGCCTTGCTGCCTCCCCAAAGATTCCCCCCGTGGGCAGCGCTGCCCAATGGGAGCTAGTTCCTGTGCAGGAACCGGCACTTGTCACCATAAGAGCAGGATCCCCTCTGGTAGTCGCGGCAGACTCCATCGCCCTTTCCTTTGCCCTTTCCCTTGCCCTTGCCATGCATGCTGAAGCTGCCCCGGGACTCGTCCGTAAGCATGCCTGGCGAGCCCTTCTCTTCCACACCAAGTTGGCACAGGCACCAGCAGATGATGGAGATCCGCCCCTTCCCATCCTGCTCCTGATCCGGCAGGGCGTTGACGCCGTGCTGCCAGATGATGTTCCTCAGATCACTCAGCAAGCGAACACCCTCTGCTCAAACACCTGCTGCAGCTATAGCAGAAGTAGCGGATGTAGTCGGTCGCGATTTGCAAAAAAAACAACCAGACGAGCTCCCGGCGTGCTACCCTCTTAACTGCTGCAGGAGCATCGCATCGCGCCCGAAGTAAAAGAGCATGCCATTCTTCTGGGGAAAGTATATCCTGGGGTGTCCAAGCGTGGCACAGATGCGGTGGGTCTTCCCAATGTGCCAACAAAAGCCGATCACGAGCTACCTTCAACTACACTGGCCCCCCAATAGGATTGCATGATCCTGTTCTCAGGCGCACGAGCACCCTACTTGAAGAATCAGGAAGCTATAGTTAGGGCGAAAAGCGCCCAAACTACAGCTGCTATCAGGGTTCCAAACGCAGCTCCCTCACTTACAAGCACACCTTTGCGTAACGTAGATTACCAAGGGACAGACCATGAACCCTTAACCTAAGATGCCGAAAGCGTCAGCTCGCCCGTCTTCGCATGCCTGAAGGCCAGCTCGCGGGAAGCACCGAAGGAAATGCCGACGGTACCTGGGCTTCAAGTTTGGGGTTCATAGGCTTGGCCTGCATGCTGAAGCTTGAAAGATTACAAACCCTAAACCAGGTTTCATCGAGGTGCGCTCTATGAGCACGCTGCAGCCTTCTTGGCTCGAGGGGCTTAGGGGGGGGGGGGGGGCAGCTCTTCAACCGATGGTTCATGGTCCACTGAAGAGACTCAGACCTGCTGTGCTTTCAGGTCATGCTCCCGTGTTTTTGTAAGTCCATCTGAGTCCCAGGGGAGCAGTGGAGGATCGGAGCCGAAAGTCGACAGCACAAGCCCCAAGCGGACAGAAGAAGAGACATAAAGCTTGCAACCACGAACCCAAAACAGCGCCCAACACCCTCAGATTAGCGACCACCGGAACGTCCAGGGTACAGTTCTGGTTCGCCGCGCGCGCCTCGTTGAAGGCGGCCTCTCATCCAAGCAGCTAGGACCAGTTGGGATTAGGGTTCAGGGCTCAGGGCTTAGGGCTCAGGGCTTAAGGGTTGTTTATAGGCCTCTAAACCTACTCTGAAGCCTGGATCACCCAGCGCTGAAGATGGCAACTACCAGCAGGACAGGTTCATGTAGCAAGGAGGCGCCCAAAAACCCACTCCCCCAAAAAAAACCTGCACACACCAAACCCTAAAGAGCCTGCTTAATGCCAGGATTCTCTCTTGCAACCCGAGGAGCAGAGTCATGGTGGAAAGGCTTCCAGTCCGACCCATCCCGGTACCAGTTGAAGCGGGTGCCCCGGTTGCCCTCCGCCGCTTTGAAGTACTCGCCTGAGAAGGCTTAGAAGGCTTTGCAGAGCTTCCGGGCCTTTAGGCTTCTTGCTTGGGTCATTCTCAGAATGGAGATGGCTTCGTTCTGGGCTCATGTTGCTGGTAGGGTGTGCCTCGACATCAGGGATGCCCCTAGTGGCAGAGCTGAGTGTTCGTAGCCGCCACGCACTCCCAGCTTAATTCCGGCACGGAGCATGCCGACTCAATCATGGTTCTTGGGTGCCGAAAGCCTCTACAGGAAGGGCCCCTTACTTCATTAACCTACGTTCAGGGACGAACAACCTACGCCATAGTACTTCCGAACCCGACTTAGCTGAGGGCAGAACTTGAGGCCGCCCCAACACGACTGCTACACATGCCTGTACAGCCAAGGAGCACATTCGCTCTACCACCTGTCAGGCAAAAGCCTTTGGGTACTGTCCAGCATACAGACAACCACATGCCAGTAGAAGAACTGGGCTAGGAGAAAACGCGCAGTCCAGTTTACCAGCAATGGATGCATTCTCATCGACACTTCTGGCGATCGCTGAATCCAAGCACAGTGGAAATCCCTTCCCCCAAACCCTAAACCCTAAACCTAAACCCCTAACCCCTAACCCCTAAACCCTAAACCCTAAACCCTAAACCCTAAACCCTAAACCCTAAACCCCGACGCCGAATCCTTGGAAGAAACTGCCGCACCCTGGTGTACGTCGCCGAGCCGGTGGGGTTCTGACCTTCAGGAGCTGGAGGCCCCACCCAGCGCTTTGAGTTTCGGGTTAGGGTTTAGGGCTTAGGGCTTAGGGTTTAGGGTTTAGGGTTTAGGGTTTAGGGTTTAGGGTTTAGGGTTTAGGGTTTAGGGTTTAGGGTTTAGGGTTTAGAGTTTAGGGTTTAGGGTTTAGGGTTTGGGTCGCAGGAGGTAGGCATGCTTGACGGTGCCAGAGCTTTGGGGGCCTCCGGCATGAAGGGAACCTTATTGGCGTCCTTATAATAAGGGAATCCTACTATTTGGGGTCTTTAGGGGCCCCCTTATTTTCGTAAACCCACACTGGAAGGTGAAGGGGGAAGTTCAGGAGGTCAGGATTGAGAGTCCGGGCTGCGAGGGTCTTGCAGCTCAACTTCTGGGAGTGCGCCTGCTCTTGCTGCTGGTATTTTGGGGGGTGTCTGTGACGCAAGGAGAGTCCATGGCCCTGATGTTTTCGGAAAACTTGAGACGATCGGGGTTTGTAGGGTTCAGGGTTTTAGATGGTCTCCCGGGCCGCGAACTGAGAAGGTGGGCCCCCTCGTGCCAAGGGATCCACTCAGCCTTCAGGGGCCGAGGGTTTAGGGGTTTAGGGTTTAGGGTTTAGGGTTTAGGGTTTAGGGTTTAGGGTTTAGGGTTTAGGGGCTGAGGGGTGGGGGAGGTTCTCTCAAGGTCCCAGGGAAGGCTCCTGCTTCTCACTATGGAACACCCACATGCTTCAGAGAACTGCCGAAACAATGAGCCTCGGGGTTAGGAAGCGCCTCTGTAGTTACAGGTAATGGCACAAGGGGTTGAGCTCTGGAAGCTGCCAGCGCACCTTGCGTTCGCCTTTGGCTTGGCTTTCGCGCATCTCCTTGCGGCCGAGACGGGACCCGTTGAGGGTTCGGGGGTTAGGGGTTGTCGGGATCCTGTCTCTGGTGGCCCTGACAAGCGCGACGGGGTCCTTGATCAGGGTGTAGTAAGTGTCCCAGTCCTCTTCTTTGCAGAAGAACTCGGGAACCACGATCACGTCATCGTGCTTCACAGGGGCTGCGTATCGGCGGGAGGCCGGGACCTCGGCTTCCAAGTGTAGGGCCGGCTCGGGCTTTGGGATTCAACCTAAAGCTACCCTCAGCCGTCTATGACGATCTGGTTTTTGAACACCTCGGGCTCAGAGTTTACATGGCTTTAGGGACCCTAGCACAGAGAACAAGCACAACAGGTACAACATGGTACATTGTAAGTACAACAGTAAAAAATCCAAACTCTGCAAGGCCAATGTCCTGCACAGCAAACAGCAAAACCATTCAAGCTGGCACGCGGTTATGACGCGCATGCTAGGCCGGTCCGGCCAGGAGAGCGGAGCTGCCTCCTCTCGTGCCAGAGGCTTCTCCTGCAGCAGCACACTGCAGTTCACGTTGATCCCAGTTGCTCGAAACTTAGGTAGGTTGCACGAGTTCGACCCAGTATGACCCACTATGTCACCATGTGCATTCGGGGACACATGCTCTGCCGCAGCTCATGCTGCTCAGCACCTCTGTTCGGGTCAGCAGTCCTGGTCGTGGGAGAACCTGCAGTTGTCACCGTAGGCGCAGCGGCCGAAACGAAAGTCTCTGCATGGACCCTCCTGCAACAACGTTGGGGAGCAGAGTGAGGCAGAAGTAGGCCAACTTGTTCCAATCCGTTGCAACCGTTGCAACCTATGCCCCGCACCAGCTTGCAACAAAATGAACTCCTGGACGCACGCACACGCGGAGAGCATAGGAGAGAAAGAGATAGAGAGAGCGAGAGAGAGAGAGAAAAAAAAAAAAAGAGATAGAGAGGAAAAGAAAGAGTGTCAGAGAGAGAGAGAGAGAGCGAGAGAAAGATAGAAAGATGGCGAAAGAAAGAAAGAAAGAGGGAACAAGAGGGAGAAAGAAGGAGAAAGAAGGAGAAAGAGGGAGAGAGTCCCTCCTTGCAACAGGAAACACGGCCGCCAGGCCTTGGTGGCATCGGCGACGGTGTCTGACAGCGCCGTCTCTTCCACGGCTTGGCGGCTGCGTCCCGAGACGGCGATGGAGACCTGGTCGCGCTCCGGCTGCTTGGACTCTCCGGGAAGCCAGCTGCTGACGACCTCGTGGCCCATGAGCAGCAGCGTGCCGTTCTCCTGCGGGAAGTACAGGATCTCCCCCGTCTTCCTGCGCTTGAAGGCCAGCTCACAGGTAGCGCCCAGGGACAAGTTCAGCATGCAGCTTCCCGGACCTTTGGCCGGTCCGAAGTTGCGGGATGCGAGTTCTACGAGCTGGTCGCCACGGTGCCAGCGCACGCGGAAGGTGGCGGAGTCAGGGTCCACTTGGAAGTACTGGCACATGCGCGCACCCAAGCTTTGGACGGCTGGCACATCGCTGGGCTCCGGCTGGCCTCTCGCATCTTTCGCATCTTTCGCCAGCTGCAGCTGCTGCAGCTCTGCAAGCAGCCGGTTCAGAGTCCCAACGTCGCCCGTAGCGCAGAGCAGCTCTGGCACAACCACCACGTCGTCGGGCTTGGTCTGTGCCCCGAACTCATGCCCCTTCCTGCCATAGACGACTCGCATGGCCGGTCGCACCAGCGTGGACCGCGGGTCAAAAGATGCCGTGTTGCGCCCGTGCATGCCCTTGATTCCCATGGCAGCCTTTTGTGCCTTTCCCAGCTCGGCGCCCGGGAAGTACCGGGGATCGTCCTCCACCTGCGCCAGGCGCCTGTCACGGTCGTAGCCGGGGCGTGGCAGGGGCTGCAGAGACGAGTCCCTGCTGCCAGAGTGCCACGAGTTCTCTCGCTCGCGAACACCACGACCAGCCCAGCCTTCCCGGTCTCTGTCCTGCCTGTCCTGCCTGTCCTGCCTGTCCTGCCTGTCCTTGTCCTGATTCCACCGGTTATGTCGAACGGTCTCGGGCCAGTCCTTGAGCTCCTTGGAGTCCTTGGAATCCTTGGAGTCCTTCCACTCCTTCTCGCGGCTCCAGCGGTTCGGCATCTCCCAGTCCGTGGGGCTTCGCCCTCGGCCGGCAGTCGCAACAGGGCGGCTACGGCTTCGTCTCCGCTTTGGGTCCCGCTTGCGGCTTCTCCTGGAGCGTGAGCGAGGCCTCTCCGTGTCCATGTTGCACCCCCTGCCAGGCTCGAGCCAGTATGGCTGGATGCAAGTTTGAGAATTGTCCGAGAAGATCAAGGTAGACCCAACCGAGCACAGACACTATGCGTACTGAAAGACTTCTCCCAGAACCTGCCGAGGCACGAGCCTTTCGAAAGGTGCCAGTCTCTTACGGGCCCTATTCGAGAACAGCTTTGCTGTCCCCTCTCCCACACTCAAGTCCTGCCCATGCCATGCTCTATCCAGCCGGGAAGAGACAGCGACGGCGGCGCGGGCATGCGAGGACCTATAATGCCACTTTCATGGGTGATAGACCATAAGCCGTAAGCCTGTATGAAGAGCGTCGGGTGTCGATTTTGCACAAACCTGTGAACCCTGGAGAAGCTGCAAGTGCACATAACTCGACAGAAGGGTGTGGGCACCTTCGGTCATCTGGATCCGCTCATTCTCCTGCCAGGCAAACAGTCGGCTGGAGCTAATCCCGCACCCAAAATGCACCTGGGCAGTGTACCCACACGAGCAGTCACTCACCTGTGGGTGCAAAGCCTACAAACTTCGAGTCTGCCCTAATTATGGATGGCAACTTCCTCCTGCGTTCGGCACCTGTGAGCTTGAGTCCCCAAGCCTTGATCGTGCAAATGCGCAAACAGCATCCTCCTCCTGTTGACCAATCATGGCAGCGGCCGCGACTGCCTGCGAGCATGTCAGGGTGGAATGGTCGACCGTGAGCACTAAGCCACGACTCCCTCGGTCATGAACAGTCTTTCGGCCCAACCTCCTGTGTCTGAAATTTCAAATAACGCCACTTACAAGCAAGCTGTCCGCAAGGAGGGGGGGGGGACTACTGAAAGGCTTGGATTTGTACTTCTCATGTCTCGGTGTTCTTGTCAAGACGACCGGATGAGTTGGGTTTGGAGAAAGTGGGCTTTAGAGTTTGGGGGCTTGGGGCGTTTTCCTGCTTTTTTGGGCTTCAGGGCTGTTGAAGAGCAGCCTGCCTGCGGGGTCCACTGTAAGGCATCAAACAAATCCTGCTCAGCGGCCCATGATGAGAAGGTCTCGTGGGGGGTTTACGACAATAGGGGACCCCTAAAATGGACCCCTGATTCCCTTAGAATAAGGACCCCAAGAAGGTTCCGCCTCATTTCGGAAGCCCCCCTAGTGAGGCCACGGAAGCCCTGCGGAAACCGACGCGCAAAGGGCCGCTGCTTCTGCTGACCATCCCAACGCGGAAAAAACTTCCAGGCACACAACTTCGACCTCTGTGATCCTAGAACACCTCGTAGACCCCAAGACTTCAAGACCCCTTAAACCTTAAGGTCTAAAGTGCAACAAAGGAAGGATTCTTTGGGAACCCCCTAAACCCCAAACCCCAAACCCGAAGGCGCAACAAGAAGGTTGGGGCAGAGGGGGCCAAGGGGGACCGGCTCCTCTGCGTATAAGCCTTCCACGGGCATGGAGCGCTGCTGGGCGCCCGGCGGTACTTCCTCCAAGGGTTGGAAGACAGGAGTTTGGTGTTCAGGGCTTAGGGTGGTAGGGTTTAAGTTTTAGGGTTCAGGATTTAGGGTTTAGGGTTTAGGGTTTAGGGTTCGGGGGTTTAGGGTTTATAGGGTTTCGGGTTTAGCAGAGGCATGTTCCTTCAGGGTTTATGGCTTCGACTTGGGGCACAAACAAACACGAAGCGATCATTTCCATCTCGTTCATAGCGTGCCGTTGTGACCAGAATGCAAGTCTGATTTGTATGTGAAGCATCGAATGATGAAGGGCTAACGACGCGTGATGTGCGACGACTTCTACTGTAGCGTTCGTTGTCAGAGACCCTCAAAAATCCTTCAAAAGCTCACCGGCAGCCCAAATATCTGGGAAGGCTCGGCGTCGAAACCTGAAAAAGCTGGCTATGTCTGGAAAGAAGCCCTAGAAAGTAGTCAGAAATGGGCGAGAATCGTTCACTCTCAGGAAACAGCCATGTTCGACCATAGGCGCGGGCGCAAAAACACATCAGCGCTTGCTGAAGGATGGTTCGACCCCTCTGGAGCCCCCAAAACCTAGCCCGCACCCTGGGGTTCAGGGCTGAGGGTTTTAGGGAATTCAGGTTCAGGGTTTGTTTAGGGTTTAGGGTTTAGGGTTTAGGGTTTAGGGTTTAGGGTTTAGGGTTTAGGGTTTAGGGTTTAGGGTTTAGGGTTTAGGGTTTAGGGTTTAGGTTTAAGGGTTTAGGGTTTAGGGTTTAGGGTTTAGGGTTTAGGGTTTAGGGTTTAGGGTTTAGGGTTTAGGGTTTAGGGTTTAGGGTTTAGTAGGGCTTAGGGTGTAGGATTTAGGGTGGAGGGTTTAGGGTGTATAGGGCTCACCAGCCCCAGCCCCCAAAAACCTGAAACCGCAACCCCTCTTCCATGCCCTCAACCTTAAACCCCTGCCTACAATTCTTTCGAGGGCCCGTGGCCTGTGTCCAACTGAATTGCCGGCACTCTCCGGCCCTTACACCCACATCCACGGTCCTGACCACAAGGGTTTAGGGTTTAGGGTTTTGGGTTTAGTTTTGAGGTTTTGAGGTTTTGAGGTTTTGAGGCTTTTGGGTTTAGGCTGGGTTCGGGGGTTGGGGTTTATGGGTTAGGGTTTACACAACCCCCTCCTTGGCTCAAGTTTGAGGACTCCTTTACTTCAGGTGCATACGGGTTCAGGGTCGAGGGGTTAGAGGGTTTAGATTTAGGGCTGAGGGCTTCCTTGGAGGTTCATGGCACTTATGAACCCATTATAACTGTACTCACAACCCACTTATAAGCCCCTTAAGTGCCCTAGTATGGTTATCAGTACAGTTGTTAGTACAGTAGCCCTAAACCCTAAACCCGAAACCCTAAACCCTAAACCCTAAAAGTACAGTTATAAATTGGCTAACAGGTACCATGAACCTCCAAGTAGGACTATCCCAACCCTAAAGCTGCATCCCCCAGGCCCAAGAAGCCGACTCAAGAAGACTGGTTGAGGGTTTAGGGTTTAGGGTTTAGGGTTCAGGGTTTACGGTTTTGGGTTTAGGGTTTAGGGTTTAGGGTTTAGGGTTTAGGGTTTAGGGTTTAGGGTTTAGGGTTTAGGGTCCCCAATCGGAATGTGATCCTGTTACATGCTTAAGGATTCCGTCAGCCAAGGCATCGAGTGCCTCCCTTCCGTGGTGGTTCGAAACCTTTGGCAAGCTTCCGTGCTGAAGGCGCGTGGAGGTTGAGGGCTTTTAGGATTTAAGCTTCAAGAGTTCAAAGGATGTCGAGTTTCGGGGGTTTATGAGGGGCTTGGGGTTGGGGAAATTAACATCACACTTGACGGCCACGGTGCTGTAGGTACGTAAGGGGAAGGCAGGCTCCAAGCCGCCTGTGGCTCAAGGGGTTTAGGCCTTCGGGTTCTTGGGGGGTTTAGGATCTCAAGGGGTGAAGGCCTTCGGGTTTTTCGGGGGTTTAGGACAAGGGTAGTGTAGGGTTGAGGGCTTCGGGCTGGGAAGTTTTGGGTATTGGGTCTCCTCCGCGTCTGACCCTTTGCCATGTGCGAATTGTTGCGAATAAAACTCGGAGCGACCTCTGCCGCGTCCCAGCCATGCAACATCTCCCCCCCCCCCCCTAAACCTTGAATCATGAACCCTGAGCCCTAAACCCTGAGCCCTAAACCCTAAACCCCAAACCCTAAACCCTAAGCCCCGAAATTCTCGCCTACACTTGAAAGCTCAGGGCACGGCTTCCGGAGCTCCCGAATGCTTTCACCGCCCGGCACGTCCTGATGCCACGAGTGTACATATGACAACTTGGGGTGTTCCCCCTTATACTAACAGTCCTCATGGGGTTTAGGGTTTCGGGTTTAGGGTACAGGGTTTAGGGTTCAGGGTTTAGGGTTGAGGGTTGAGGGTTGAGGGTTGAGGGCTTAGGGTTTAGGGCAGACAGACTGGTGAAGTCGGCTCGTCACATGTGCGAGAAGATTAACGACGGGTGCGCTAACCACGATAAACTAGAGTCGGTCAAGTATACTTTGTACCTGTTGACTCATCAATCATCAAAATGAACTGTTCAAGCCAGGTTTGAATGGTCGCCTCAGGCAAATCTGTCGCCACAGGGTTTGGGGTTTAGGGTCTCCTGAATAGGGAATAGAGTACACCCTATTACAATCCCTATTAAGGACTGTTCTGATAAACCTAAACCCTCAAACCCTCTCAAACCCAGAAGACACCACTGTCCGCCTGGCTTGATGCCGTCGGTCACGTCATAGGCAAACACTCGGGTCCCTACGATGCCTCATAATCTACCCTGACAACCCAGGGCGGAGGCCTCCTGAATATGGCAGGTGAAAAACCTTGTGTCTGCCCGGGACTCCCAATACAGCTAAACCCTGAACCCTAAACCCTAAACCCGAAACCCTGAACCCGAAACCCTAAACCCTAAACCCTAAACCCTAAACCCTAAACCCTAAACCCTAAACCCTAAACCCAATCAAATACAACAAGCAGACCCTAAAGTTGCCCTCGGCCTGACCGCAACCCTACGCACGCCGTCCTCGATGCAGCGTACTACGACCTCACATTCACATGTGGACAGCAGGCACGCGGGGTTGAATGGCCATAGTTTAGGGTTTAGGCTTTAGGGTTTAGGGTTTAGGGTTTAGGGCTTAGGGTTTAGGGTTTAGGGTTTAGGGTTTAGGGCTACTCCTTAAACCTTACCAGAACAAAACCTGCCTTGGCCTTGAACCCGTTCGAATCACACTTTCGAATTCAGGCAGGAAAGAGGCGAGTCGCCCTACACACCCCAAAACGCCACATGCTGCCCCGGGCCTTCACACCAAACCCTACACCCGAAACCCCAAATGTGGGATGTTCCCCCTTATGCTAACAGTCCTTAGTAGGGATTGTAGAACCCCGATTATACTCCCCATGAAGGACAGCTAGTATAAAGGGGAACATCCTAACCCTAAATTGTAAACGAACTGCACAAAGGGCTTCAGGGTGAGGGGACTTCAAGGCGGTGTTTGGGTTTAGGGATCAGAGCTGCATAAGGCTTAGGGTTTAGGGTTTAGGGTTCAGGGTTTAAGGTTTAGGGCATAAGGCTCAGGCCCGTCACACACCCGTAGCGGAGCAGCCGAGAGCGGAGAAACGCCCTCTCGAAATATCAACTGTCCACAGCATGTGCGGCCGCTGCCGATTGCTAAGACGAAGCTACTCCTAAGGTGCGTGCGTGCCCATGTAAAGGTTACCTTGGGGGAACCTTCTAAGGGTGCGACCTGAGGGGTCTACAACCCTGGAAGCCTTGGGTTCGGCGGGCTTTAAGATCTACGTCTCTGCTGCCGGGCTCTAGGTCAAGGGCTTGCATGTATCCCAGCCCGCTGCCACCGATGTAACCCACCAAAACCCTAAGCCCCTGAGCCCTAAACCCGAACCTCCAGGCCCCAAAACCCTAAACTGCAAAACCCCTAAGTTTCGAAATCCTAAACCATGACCCCTCAACCCTCTACAGCTTCAAGCCCTAAGCCTGTCACTTCCCTACCTTTCCACTGCTCATGCCGGATAGTGCCACTATGAATACTGCACAAACGAGTACCCTGAACCTCCAAGTACTGCACATACTGCACCTCAGGCAAGCTGGGGCAAAGGCACAACAGCGCCGCGGAAATCGCTTCGCCGCCGCGCACCTCAGGTTTCAAGGTTTGGGGTTTGGGGGGTTTAGGGTTTTGGGTTTAGGGCTTAAGGTTTAGGGTTTAGGGTTTAGGGTTTAGGGCTTAGGGTTTAGGGTTTAGGGTTTAGGGTTTAGGGTTTTGGGTTTTTGGGGGGGCCTTGGGCTTGTTGTATTACCTTGGCCCAGGCCAAGGAGTTGTAGCAGCAAAGGCCTCAGAGCGGTCGAGAAAATTGGGGGCTTCAGTGGGTGTTGGGGCCTGGGGTCTGGCGGGTGATGGCATCGCTGCATTCTGTTAGGGTGTAGGGGTTGAACCCTAAACCCTAAACCCTAAACCCTAAACCCTAAACCCTAAACCCTAAACCCTAAACCCTAAACCCTAAACCCTAAACCCTAAACCCTAAACCCTATAAACCCTAAACCCTAAAACCCTAAAACTCAACATCATACTGCGTGCAGCACTCCACGAGCATGGCATGAAGATCACCTGCTGACTGATCTTGCGCACCGAAACCCTAGATTTGGGATGTTCCCCCTTATACTAACAGTCCTTCATAGGGATTATAATGGGGGGGGGGGGGGCACTGCACTCCCCATAAAGGACTGTCAGCATAAGGGGGACCATCCAAACCCTAAATCCTTAAACCTCTGAGTGGCCCCCAGAGATTGAGCTGACGGATGCCCCGACTCATTGTTTTGTCTGGGGGTTTGCTGAGGGAATGATTTCCTTGTGGCTGCCTGCAAGATTACTGAGGGGTGGTGTCCATACGAGATAGATGACAGTGAGCAGAGTTTCGAAGCCCCTTCTTACTGCCGTGATCCGCGGTGCCATTCCTACAAGCAAAGCTGTGGCACTGTTGCAAGGCACGTGGCCAGATCACATGCGGCTTGTCAACAATGACGCTGCAGACGGCGGAAGCTGTCCACACACTCTATATGTTGGGATGTTCCCCCCTTATACTAACTGTCCTGAATAGGGATTATAGTAGGGGGCACTATAATCCCTGTCAAAGGTTGTTAGTAGAAGGGGGAACATCCCAATCCATCTGCAATGAGCACAACACCCCGATGCGCAAGCCAAGAATGTGGAAATCGGGGAACTGTGGGCGGGCAGGTCTTTGCTATCTTGCAACTCTGCTTTACGGGGTCTCGGGCTTGAGCCTTCAGTTTTAGGGCTCAAAGTCGCCTCACCTTGCGGTGGCTTTGGACAATAAAGCCTTTTTTTTCTCCCCCCCGACCTTTCCAGCTAGACAGAGCCCCCTGGCATGGCTCCAACCCCACCCCCCCAACCCAAAAAAAAAAAAAAAAACACACCCCCCACCCCCACCCCCCCCCCCACCCCCCACCCCCCCCCCCCCCCCCCCACCCCCCCACCCCCCACCCCCCCCCAGCCCCCCACCACCCCCCCACCCACCCACCCCCCCCACCCACCCCCCCAACCCCCAACCCCACCCCCCCCCAAACCACCCCCCGCCCCACACCCCCAAGAACCCACCCCCCCCGCCCCCTTCTACGTCTTCTGCGTCGGGGCGTGGCGTTGTTGGTCTGGGTCAAAGTGGTTCCACCGCTCATTTGTTGGGGTATTTTTGTAGGTGGGAGGTGTTGCAGCCCCCCCCCCAGCTGCATGGGCCAGGCCGAGGCGGGTCGCGTAGCTGTAAAATTAAGGTTACTTGGGGGCCCCTACTTTTTTTAAGGGAACCCTACTATTTGGGGTCTGATCCTGCTATTTGGGGGTCTATATTGGGGGTCCCCTATTTTCTGTAAACCCAAATCCACCGTGAGAAACACTCGTCAAAGTGGCACAATGGTGGTTTTTGGTTCGCCAAGGACGGGCTTGTGCAAACTCCAAGGCAAACAAGAACATGCCATACTGCGTGTCGAGAGTACTGGAGGGAATTGGTCAGAATCAACTAGACCAATTCTCTCCAAGGTCCAGGAAGTTTTGCCATTTAGGCACTCTGATTGCAGAGTCCTAGAAAATTGCTCTTTTTGTTGTTTTGGTTCAGGCACAGTGCACGCGACATCGTGCCAGCGAGTGTCCCTTTGAGAGAAAGCCAACAACAACCAATCCAGGGACTCTTGCCATGTAGGCACGCTGATTGGGGAGTCCCAGAAAATTGTTTTGGTTGTCTTCTGAGTTTTGTTTTGGGTGGATGTTCTCCATTTGCAAGGCGCAGCGCAAACTAAACTGAACTAAGCTAAGAACACCAGTTTCTCGGGCCTCTTCTGCCATCTGAGCGCTCTCGAGAGCTCCAGGGAGAATAGTTTGCTTTGTGTGTTTCTAGCTTTTGGTTTTTTGCGCTTGTTAAAAAAGAGTGAGACACACGAAACAAGCCCAAACTCGACCAGCCAGAAAGGCGCCCTGCAACGGTCCCCGTGCTGAAAAGATTGAAAAGTAAACGCACCAAGACATGGTTGAGCATTGCAGAGCTCAGGCACCGAACACAGGGTAATGCTGAGGCATCTGCTGCAGTGAGTAGAGCCGTCGGTTGTCCAAGGCAAACCTCAGATATCTTGCAACATGCGACTCCCACGATGGTGCTAACACGCCCCCATGGAGAGCAGCGAGGCGAGCAGACAGGGAATCAGAAGGATCCAGGAAGCTCCCTAAACCCTAAACCCTAAACCCTAAACCCTAAAACCCTAAACCCTAAACCCTAAACCCCGGGTTGTAAGAGGCAGGGGTGTGCCCCTGGTTCTTCTGCGAAGGCACTCGGAAAGAGTGAAAAGGCTGTTTTTTTCTGCTCCCTAGGTGCGGTCGCACGTTACTTGGCATAACACGTCCACCTGGCAATGGCACAACAAGCACTCTGCTGCCTGTGCCACAGGTGGCCACTGTGGCCGAACATCTCCGTTCGGAGGGCTCGATGCCACCGAGAATGGCAGCGCATGCAAGCAATGAAGTTGCTATGGGAAAGAGCTGCATCTTCCTGGGAGAATTTGGGGCTTCTGCAGTCTTGAAGATTGCGCATGCACGGCCAAAAAAATTTTTAAACATCTTGCAGAACTACCACGCCATCAAGACAGTAGAGGTGTGCTCACAAGGTTGCTTGCGGCTTTCATCGCACCACCTGCTTACTCTGTCGTTCTCTACGTTTCGAAGAACTTTTAAAATGCTCCGTTTTTCAGAGCAGCTGCCTTGCAACTAGCAGCTAGAGGCCTCACTTCTTGTACTTGTAGTACTTGCCCCAGACCTCCGGATGTCGGTACTTGAAGTACGCGGCCTTGGCCTTGGCTTCGTACTCCGCCTTGGTGGCGTAGCCTTTTGCCTTTGCTGCCTTGATCTTCCAGTAGTAGGGCATCTCCTTCTTGGGGTACTTGCCAAAGTAGTCCGGGTGAGTGTACTTGAACGCTGCCGCCTTGCCCTTGGCATAGTAGTACTTCTTCGCGGCGTAGGCTTTGGCCTTGGCAGCCTTGATCTTCCAGTAGTACGGAACTCTTGCACCGTAGTAGTCAGACGGCTCGGTGGTGTCGTAGTACGGCTCGGTCGTGTCATAGTATGGCTCGGTCGTGTCGTAGTACGGCTCGGTCGTGTCGTAGTACGGCTCGGTCGTCTCGTAGTACTTTGGCGTCGTCGACTCATAGTACTTTGGCGTGGTCGACTCGTAATACTTCTCTGTGGTCGAAGTGGTCTCATAGTACTTCTCTGTGGTTGTGCTGGTGGTGGTGCTATAGTATTTCGGCTCGGAAGTGGTCTTGTAGTCCTTCGTCGGCTTGTGGTGCTCACTCTTCTGGGAGGCACCTCTTTCGTACTTGTAGTCGTCCTTATGGTAATCATCCTTGTGGTAGTCATCCTTGTGGTAGTCATCCTTGTGGTAGTCATCCTTGTGGTAATCGTCCTTCTTGTAGACATGCTTGTGGTCGTCATCCTCGAAGAAGTCGTCATGGTCGTCGTCCGTGTGGTAGCCACCCTTGTGGTCGTCTGGGTGGTACCTTGTCGGCGGCTCGTAGTACTCCTTGTGGCACTCGTGGCAGTAATCCTCAAGGACACCCCCTAGCTTGCCGCTGGAGGAGCAATCCTCCGTACAGCGGCCCAGGCCCGGCCCACGGTATCCCATGCCCTTGCAAAGGTCCAGGCAATACTGGTGCTCACTTCGGCAGCCACACCCTGAGTCAGAAGTAGCACTCCGAACCCGGAACTGCAGCAGCCCCGCATCCTCTCTGTCTGACTCATGGCAGAAGCCGCACTCACAGTACCGCTCGAAGACTGGCCACACCTTGGCTTCGTTTTGAATGCAAAGTTCTTTGCAATGTGGACACTTGACAATGTCGCAGATTTCCGTGCACCAGCACCCGATGCTGGTGCACTTGTCCGCGGTGGTCGTTGTCGTCGTCGTCGTAGTCGTCGTGGTCTTGTAATCATCTCCGCCATCATATTTGTCATCACAGTCGGCACAGTAGTCGAATATCTCCTGAACCATGCCAACTTTTGCCACACACGCTGCTTCACATGCCTTGCAACTCCTGCCCCGGCAGTAGAAGCCGTCAGTGCAGAGGTCTGTGCAAAACTTCTTCCCATCACCACAGCCGCGGCCGCAGTAGGAGTCGAAGACATCCTTACGTCTCCAATAACCAAGGAATAACTAGGTTGCACTTTCTTTCTCCCACAAGCTAAGGAGACCCATAAAGTTCGCCTCGGCTTCCTGCCGAGAAGCGTCTGGAACAAGCAGACCCGGATCGGCCCTTCCCCCTGCAACCCCCCGCCCTGTGGGACCCCCCCCAATCGCTTGGAGGAGCTGTAAAAAGCCGTGGTCCCACCTGTCGGTGCTCCTACAGAGGGCCCACCCCCCTCCCCCCCCCCCCCCTCCCCCCCCCTCCCCCCACGCCCCCCCCCCCTCCCCCCACCCCCCCTCCACCCCCCCCCCCCCTTTAACCCCGCTGCCCTTCCTCCCCTTTTTTTGCGAAACCCTCTTTCCTCCTTTCCTGTCCTGGGGCCGGCCCGGCTGCCGAGGCGGCGCATGCAAGCATTTACAATTTTTAAGCTCTTGTCTTGGCTTAAAGTAAGCATCCCAGATGTAGTCTATGTCTTCGTGGCAATACTGATGGCAGTTCGAGGCAGAGTAGACCTCGAAGTCTGCCTCGCAGATGAGGTCGCAGACGGCATCGGTCTTGCAAGTGTCGACAACGCTCGACTTCAGGTCCAAGAAGACGGGCTTCGATCGGTTCTCGAGACCGCTGGCATGCACCGGGTGCGCCCCGGCAGCAAGGAGCGCCTGAACGAGCAAAAGCAGGCTCATGGCCTCTGGGTCCCGCCTAGCCTCTTGACTGCCTGCTGAGCCGTGCTGCTGGCGCGCATCGCAGCTGATGGAAGGGCGCCAGACTTGTCGAGACAATCTTGATGCCAACATCATCCCTTATGGTATGTATATATATATATATATATATATACATATATTATTAATGTTGTATATAGTATGAAAGACATGCTACCTCTCATACGATACATATCTATCTATATATGTGTGTATATATATGTATGAGAATTTATGTATACAGAAGAATAAAAATGAAAATATATATGGAGCCCCCGATGTACCTACCATTGTTTCTTCTTGATTTGCATTTTCGTAGAATCGAGCTCTAGAAAAATTGGTAAAATAAATGAAACCATGAATTATTGTGATCTGAGACGCTCTCCCAACGACATGGTTTCAAAATCATTGGGTTTTTTGGAATGTGTTGGTTCCATGATTTCCGGTGACCAATTCCCGACCCGCCCACGTCGTTTATGATAATGAACCCAACATAAGTACTGATGATAATCAAGTCGATGGATGCAGCGTAAGCAATTAGATAATTAGTGTAGTGAACATTGTAAATTGAGAAATGCAAGCAGCAAAATTAAAAACATAGATAATCATTTTTGCTCCTGATTCATACCTTTTTTATTACTCATCGACAAAAGCATTTGGAATGAGCGAAGTTGGTATGATTAGTATCGCTATCGTAAGTCACATTACCACTGTATTCTTACAGAGACAACGTCCTTGAGTAAATATTAAGAAAGCCCGTTTAATTCCTGCAGTTCATCAAATTAGTTTCGGTATTGAAAGAGTTTTTTTCCAGCCTGCACCCTTGCCTGGAAGCTTGTGTGAAACGTATGATGCTAACTTAGCAAAAAATGGCAGGCAGGTATATCGGGGGGTGGATTTATATATCTATATATGTATGTATGTGTATGTATATATGTATATGTATATCTGATATGTATATATGTGCATGTCATTAGCTTTCCTGACTGTCTCTGTCGACCACTCCAGGGCCAGGGCCATGCGCGCTTGCCCAGGAGCTGATCTCCGTTCGCATCCCGCTCCGCCTGCCCAAGATGGTTCAAAGAATTAGGGTTCAGGGGGCTTCATGGCTCAGCATATCCATATCATGGGTTTCCCTACTACTACTACCCCTCTGGGTTCCCTCCCCCCTTAAACAGCCTTATTTAGGGCTAGTAAAGAGGGGATAGTAGGGCCCATGACCCTAGCATTGCAAGGCGGATGTCTGGAAATGAGCATACACAGCAACGGCACATTCAACCCCCTTTTTCTAGGCATCCACAGCTGCCCTGCACTCGACTAGCACTCCGCTGAGTGTGCACGCGAGCTGCTGGGACATCATAATATCACATCGCAGGGTAGCTACATGGTCCCTTACCTTCTTTCAAGGATTCTGATTATTGGGCCCTTGAGTTTGAACAGGGGGTACAAAGGGGGTATCACTCAGAGACCATGTAGCTACCCCAAAGGCACGACCGGAACCCGAAATGCTGTGCAACTTCCAGCCCGCAGGTCCGAGTCACGAAGAAAACCGGCAAAACTGTTCCCAGCCAGCAGCTGTCTCATAACCCCTCCCTAACACCAGGGAATAGACCTTAAGCTACGTAGGGGGTTCTGACATGAGCTAGCTCTCTACTCAACTTAGATCTCTGGGTCGTGCTGGCACCACCTCCGTTCGGAGGCTGCAGCAGTTCTCAACCGGGCGGCGTGTGAGCATGAGTCTTGCAGCAACGCCAACCACCACAGGCTTAGCTGGTACACGCGAAACAAACCCTAAACCCTAAACCCTCCTAAACCTTAAACCGAAACCCTGAACCCTACGCTTTCGGATGCCATCAACGACGATAAGACTCTCGAGCAGCACCGACCAAATCAAAAAGATGCGAAAAGGCACATCACATGAACCCCCAAACTCTAAACCCTAAACCTTAAAAATGCTCCGGTTTCAGAGCAGCTGCCTTGCAACTAGCAGCTAGAGGCCTCACTTCTTGTACTTGTAGTACTTGCCCCAAACCTCCGGATGTCGGTACTTGAAGTACGCGGCTTTGGCCTTGGCTTCGTACTCCGCCTTCTTGGCGTAGCCTTTTGCCTTTGCTGCCTTGATCTTCCAGTAGTAAGGAATCTCCTTCTTGGGGTACTTGCCAAAGTAGTCCGGGTGAGTGTACTTGAACGCCTCGGCCTTGCCCTTGGCATAGTAGTACTTCTTGGCGGCGTAGATCTTGGCTTTTGCTGCCTTGATCTTCCAGTAGTACGGAACGTTTCCCATGCGAGGGTAGTAGTGTGACGGCTCGGTCGTGTCGTAGTACGGCTCGGTCGTGTCGTAGTACGGCTCGGTCGTGTCGTAGTACGGCTCGGTCGTGTCGTAGTACTGTGGCGTCGTCGACTCGTAGTACTTAGGCGTGGTCGTCTCGTAGTACTCCGTGGTTGGCTTGTAGTACTCAGGTGTAGTGGACTCATAGTACGGAGCCGTGGTCGGCGCAGGCGTGGTCGACTTGTAGTACTCAGGAGTGGTCGTCTTGTATGCTTTGGAAGTGGTTGTGGTTGTGTCTGGTTCCGTTGTGGTCTCGTAGTACTCGCCGTGGCACTCGTGGCAATAGCCCTCCAAGAGGCCTCCCAGCTTGCCACTGGAGTAGCAATCGTCCGTGCAACGGTGCAAGCCTTCCCCACGATAACCCAAGTCGTGGCAGATGTCGATGCAGTACTGATGCTCACTTCGGCAGCTGCACATCGAATCAGTAGACGCGGCACTGTGAAGCCGGAACTGGAGCAGCCCGGCATCATCTCCGTCCGGAGCGTCGCAGAAGCCGCACTCACAGTAGCGGTCGAAGGTCATCATGACCTTGTCCTGGTTGTGGAAACACATCTCCTCACAGTGAGGGCACTGCACAATGTCACAGACCTCCTTGCACCAGCACTCCATGTCGTAGCACTTGTCAGCATCGTCGCTGGCACACTTGCCAAAGGTGGTCGTGGTCGTCGTGGACTTGTAGTAGTCGTCATCGTAGTCATCCCCGAAGCCGTCGCAGTCGGCACAGTAGTCGAAGATCTGATGGACCAAGCCAAACGACTCCACGCACTTGCCCTCGCACTCTCCACATGTCCCGTCCCCACAATAGAAGCCGTCATAGCAGAGGTCTGCGCAGAAATGATGCTCATCACGAAGGCCGTCTCCACAGTACTTGTCGAATACGTCCCAAATGTAGTGGATGTCCTCGTGGCAGTACTGGTAGCACTTCTCCCCGAGCGGGTACACCATGAAATCCGTCTTGCAGATTTGCTCACACACATCGTCTGTCTTGCAGGACTTCACTTCATCGGACACGCTAAGGAACGCGGGCGGCGTCTCTTTCTGGAAGTCCTTCTGCGGCTGCTGTGCCTCTTCTGCCTGCACCACATGCTGCGCGCATGCGAACAATACAAGCAAGGAGGCCATAGCCATGCTCGTGCCTTCAGCACTCAGCTGGCTAGGAGCGGTTCAGTATCTTTAAGCCGAATGGCTCACACAAACGGATATATCTTGGCATCAGAATACTGCTCTCGAATGCCAGGGACCCTTGAAAACATACCAGATATACCAGAACCAAAGCAACTGCCAAATCAAAAAGATCTCCGAACGTCTTGTCACTTGTCTCTGCCTCGCCGTCCGGCCGCCGCAGCTTCGGAAGCCAGGAAATGACCCGGATCGCCGGAAACGGCGGGACAAGAACCTCGGTCTCTGATTCCTTCTGACCAAGGTGACACTTGGGTCTCGGTCCTTGTGTACAAGTTCCCGCAGTCTGGCAGTTCAACCCCACCGCACGCAAGCAATCGCCGACAGCAGGGTCAACCAGTCTGAATGAACAGGCAGGAAAGCCCCGCACCTTTTCGTAGTGCGGCAATCCCTCGGCCGCATCGTGACTGCCAACTCCGGCAAAGCGTGGGTCCTAGAACCAAGCCCATGCCCCCCCTGAACCCCAAACCCTGGAAATCCTTTTCCTGAAGCTCGCAGAAGCCTTGGCCTGAACAGCATTGAGGCAGATGCAGGGTGCTCCCAACATTCAGGCCAAAGGGGGGATGGGGGGGCCCGCATCACTCCGACCATGAAAGACAAAGCCAGGACTTCGTCAACTGCCCTGTCATCAACCCCCACTTCCACATCACGTAAGCCCGAAACCCTAAACTCCCCAAACCACGAAGCACACAATGCTCTTCTCTGACAGATTGCCCGTCCTGCAACGGCGCTTCGAAAATCTGCCAGGATTCGCGAGGATGTTGCGTAACAACAGCGACTTTCTGACTTTCTGAGGCCTTACATACCTAAGATCACTTGTGGTCTTGCAGCAGTCTCAGAAGCACGGAAATGGGCAAACCTACATCCCCCCCGATATAAGCCTATAAAGGATGATTCAGAGGCCGTCGTTGCCTCATCCGGCCCTACTATGAGAAACAGCAGGTAACTATTGCTTAGCATCTTCAGAAACAGCAAGTAGAGCTGCTCCTCAGCGAGCCTAATGAGGTGAGCTTGGGGGCAGCAACCTAGACCCTGACCCCACATTGGGTTGTTCCAAACATTGTGAGCCCTTATGGGCTTCCACGAATATCTGGAGCCTTCTCCTTAGGATACCTCAAAAAAAGGACACTTGGCCAATCGAACCCCAAGCTCAAAACTGCACACGCGTCGCCTCCGTCACCGTTTCCTTGATCAAATGACCGTCCTGACGTTCTGATGCCACACGTTGAACTCAACAACCCTCAGCGCTTAAGCTTATGATGCCAAAGAAACACTCAAACCTCTAAGGGCCCTAAACCCTACAAACCCACAAGACCCCCCGGCCCCCCCTTGCCGGCAAGTGTCGGGTTTAGGCCTACTTGGAGGGTTCAGGGTACTTAGAACCCCAGTTTTTACTGTACACAAGCAGACTGAGAATTAGGGGTTACAATTACAAGCACCCATGAACCTCCAAGCGGAAGACCCTGAACCGGCAGAGGGCCCGTCTCGAGGTGCGATCTAGGGTTTATTAAAAGCACCAAACAAAAAACTAGCCCCTAACCCCTAAGCCCCCAAAACCGCCCCCCCCCCCCCCCCCCCCGCAACACCCCCTGAATTGAAAATAAAAATCCCGAACCCGAAACCTGCAAACTCCCCAAGGAACTGGAAGCCCCGGAGACTGCTCAGAAGTGCTGTTGGCGTCTCCGGATTCGAACAACTTTGGGGGGCTTACGGTGGCTGAGGGGTTCCGGGATGGAGGGCCTCAACGAACACCAGAAGCACCTAAGCCCTAAGCCCTAAGCCCTAAGCCCTAAACCCTAAACCCTAAACCCTAAACCTTAAACCCTAAACCCTAAACCCTAAACCCTAAACCCTAAACCCTAAACCCCGAACCCGAATTGCGGCTGCCGGTCCCGAAAGTGCGGGGCGATCCGGGGCTGCGAGAAGCGGATGTTGAGAGGGTTCAGCAGCCGCCACCGGCCTCCCCCAGAGCCATGGAGTCGGTTTAGGGTTTAGGGTTTAGGGTTTAGGGTTTAGGGTTTCGGGTTGAGGGTTGAGGGGGTTTACAATTGGCATGTTCCCGCTTGTTCGAACACTCCTTATTGGGGTATTATAGTCCCTATTAAGGACTGCCAGCATAAGGGGGAACATCCCAAGCTTACAATGTTATATCCTTTCTGGTCCCTCAAAAGGTTAATGTAGGGGGATGTAAAGTATCTAATCCCCCCAAGTCCCAAGTCTTTGGGGCTAGGGCTCGTGTTTGAGAAGTCGACTGGGAGGATCCAGTCAAGCCCTCAGTCTACCTTCGGGCCTTGCACCCGAAACCTTAATCCCTAAACCCTAAACCCGAATCCCTAAACCTGAAAACCTCAACCCTAAAAACCAAAACCGTAAATCCTCACCCCTAAACCCTCAAAACGCGGCTTATAACTATGTAATCCGCCGAGGCCTTGGGCAAGGTGTCTGGGTAGCACAAGGCAGGCCACCCCACCACGAATCCCCTCCCCACGGCCCCTCTTCATTTTGCACTTTTTGGCCTGAAATGGGTACCCCCCCTAGCCGACCAAAGGGTGCATCAGGACCAGGGGCACTTCAAATAAGTTTTGCCTTGAGCCTCCCCCACCCCTCCCCCACCCCACCTGCCCCCAGCCCCCTAATTTGGGTTGCCTTCTTACAGAAGCTCAGGCCGCGGGTCGCGTAGCGTTAAAATCATCAGCACCTCAAAGATCATCCCCACAAGAAGCCCGCCAACGCGCCTTCCTCGCGTGGAGGCATACTGTCAAGAAATGTGCCTAAAATTGGCTGAGCGCAAAGCTGCAGAGAACAGGGGGTCACCTGCTTGGGTGCTTTGCGGGCTCAAGGTGCGCGTTGAGTCTCGAAGGGCTTGGAACCTTTGGAAACCGCTCGAGATCTGAAATCGTAAGGGGCGCAACTCGGCTCTAACGATGGGCGAACACAGGAATGCTCTGTGGGAATGGCGTTTGCAACAGATCTTCAAAGCGCATCGCAGCAACCAAAATCTGTACATCAAGCGGAAGGGAGGGAGAGAGAGAGAGAGAGAAAAAAAAAAAAAAGAGAGAGAAAGAGAAACAAAAAGAGAGAGAGAGAGAGCACGAGAAATAGACTAAGTTTTGCATATGAATCCTCATAGCACGCTTGGAAGCATCGACCACAAACTGACACTTTTGCCTTGTTCGCAGCACTGAATCATGCCTGCAGTACGGCTACATTAGCACTTCGGCGACGGTTGAAGTAAAATGAAGTCATGTATTTACATACAATGCACAAGTCCGTCTCATGAACATTGTTGCATCTCAACACAAAACGGTACCCGAATGACACAACTGTCGCCATCATACACAAGTTCGCTAAACTCACAGTCACCGTCTCACATGAAAGACATCAGACCAGCTCCGCACCTGTCAGGACGTCAACGACCAGCGTGTGCACACAGCTGTTGTGGGATGCCATGGAACTCAGCCGTCCAGATCCGGTTTTGCCGATTTCGCTTGCGGCATGCGTGGTCATTCGACTCCATGCCGCTAAAATGTTTCAGAATCTTGCCCTTCTGCCACCCTAAGCACTTCCGTTTGGAGGGTGCCTGGGGTCGCGGGCTGGGAGTTGTACACGAATCTCTCGCTGTGCAGGACGTCTTCCGGCGATGACATGTCGCTACACTCCAGTGTGCAAAGCTGTTCTTGGCTCACTGACGCTGCTGCCCTGCAAATGCCTCCTAGACATCCGGCACAATGCCATTGAGGCTTCACGTGCACAAAACCCTAAAGCCAAAAACCGGTGAAGGTGTGGCGTTGCACCTCCTACCTTAACTTCTACCTACGTTAAAATTCCAGCCCTCTTGATCTCGGAAGGCATGGTCATTAGCTGCTTTGATGCACACAAGTCTAGTCGGAGGCTATCACTTCTTGTACTTGTTGTAGTCGTAGCCCCAAACCTCCGGATGCCGGTACTTGAAGTACGCGGCTTTGGCCTTGGCTTCGTACTCCGCCTTCTTGGCGTAGCCTTTTGCCTTTGCTGCCTTGATCTTCCAGTAGTAAGGAATCTCCTTCTTCGGGTACTTGCCAAAGTAATCCGGGTGAGTGTACTTGAACGCCTCGGCCTTGCCCTTGGCATAGTAGTACTTCTTCGCGGCGTAGATCTTGGCTTTTGCTGCCTTGATCTTCCAGTAGTACGGAACGTTTGCACCGTAGTAGTGTGACGGCTTGGTCGTGTCGTAGTACGGCTCGGTCGTATCGTAGTACTGTGGCGTCGTCGACTCGTAGTACTCAGGCGTGGTCGTCTCGTAGTACTCCGTGGTTGGCTTGTAGTACTCAGGTGTAGTGGACTCATAGTACGGAGCCGTGGTCGGCGCAGGTGTGGTCGACTTGTAGTACTCAGGAGTGGTCGTCTTGTATGCTTTGGAAGTGGTTGTGGTTGTGTCTGGTTCCGTTGTGGTCTCGTAGTACTCGCCGTGGCACTCGTGGCAATAGCCCTCCAAGAGGCCTCCCAGCTTGCCACTGGAGTAGCAATCGTCCGTGCAACGGTGCAAGCCTTCCCCACGATAACCCAAGTCGTGGCAGATGTCGATGCAGTACTGATGCTCACTTCGGCAGCTGCACATCGACTCATCAGACGCGGCACTGTGAAGCCGGAACTGGAGCAGCCCGGCATCATCTCCGTCCGGAGCGTCGCAGAAGCCGCACTCACAGTAGCGGTCGAAGGTCATCATGACCTTGTCCTGGTTTTGGAAGCAAAGCTCCTCACAGTGAGGGCACTGCACGATGTCACAGACCTCCTTGCACCAGCACTCCATGTCGTAGCACTTGTCAGCATCGTCGCTGGCACACTTGTCAAAGGTGGTCGTGGTCGTCGTGGTCTTGTAGTCATCGTCATCACCCCCAATGTGGTCACAGTCGGCACAGTTGTCGAAGATCTGCTGGACCAGGCCGAACGACTCCACGCACTTGTCCTCGCACGGTCCACATGTTGAATCCCCACAGTAGAAGCCATCGTAGCAGAGGTCTGCGCAGAAATGATGCTGATCAAGGTCGCCCGCTTGACGGTCGCCCTCTCCACAGTAGCTGTCGAAAACATCCCAGATGTAGTGGATGTCCTCGTGGCAGTACTTGTAGCACTTCTCCCCGAGCGGGTACACCATGAAATCCGTCTCGCAGATTTGCTCACACACGTCGTCTGTCTTGCAGGACGTCACTTCATCAGACACGCTGAGGAACGCGGGCGGCGTCTCTTTCTGGAAGTCCTTCTGCGGCAGCTGTGCCTCTTCTGCCTGCACCACATGCTGCGCGCATGCGAACACTACAAGCACGGAGGCCATAGCCATGATCGTGCGCTAGGCGCTAGGCCAGGTCGGAGATAAGACGGTTCGGTGTGACTTCAGCCAAGCGCAGCACACGTACGGGAAAGCTGACAACATCCGCGGGCCGACAAGATACTGCTCAACAGCCAGAGTCCGTTCCCAACAGAAGAGCCCCCGGCCTCTTCGAGGAAACGGCACTTACAAGATGCGGACGAAGACCTGAGGAACGGTGCGTGCTAGACGTGTTCGACCCATCAGGAAAACTGTGCGTCTTCGCCACCGGCACTTGTCAATGTTGGAAGGAAACGATTGTTGTGCTGACGTTCTTGACTAGCCTGCTTGCGAATCTTCTTTGAACTGCAGGCAGCTGCTACAAGTCACCAAGCCCGAAGGTCAAGCCTGCAGTCGTGGGAGAGCTGCTGTTGTAGGGTTTCAGGGTTTGAGGCGAGGGTTTCAGGGTTTGAGAATCATAGGTCTTAAAAGCTTGATGACGTGAAGGCCATGTGAACAAAAACACTCCCAACAGCATTCGCTTCGAGGGCTGGTCGCTTGAGGCGCTTTTTGGCGTTTGAGGGTTTTGCCTTGCGCCTGGCCTCTCGTCAGACAAGTCTGGGCCAGCTTGGTGCTGACGAAGCCAAATTAATTAAAAGATCTTGCGAAAGCAGCAGAAGCTGGCCCAACTTTCAGGGCCTCAACAAACAAACACATAGTCACAAGGCCTGGTGATGCCCGAAAACATGGTCTCGCCGGGTCTCAACTTATCAAACTATGAAACATTGTGTCCTGAAACCCTGTCCAAAAGGGCCGAAGATTTTGAAAAACCAAAATCTGGCTTTGGCATCTCTTGCACCACGAACCCTGGCAGCGTCATATGCGCATCAACATACAGCCTCCGCACCCCACCCCAACCCCCCCACAACCCCCCCAATCCCCACCCTCCACCCACCCCCGACCCTCCCACCTTCCCAGCTGCTTCCCTTATTGATCAAAGAGCTAGCTTGTCTGGAAGTGGAGTAAAGTTCTTGACAACCTCACAATGCAGGCCCGCGGTGAGGCAGTCTCACTGCTATCCGTCATTTCACTCTGCATCAACTTCTATCACTCCTTTTGCTTACAAGAAACAAGCGCCAATGCAGCTGCATGAGAATTCAGGTTTAGGCACACGGACGAAGTCTAGGATGGTGTTCTTCCTGTCCGGCCTGGCAGGAGATGGCCGGAGGACTGCAGATGAACACTGCCGCTGTGGGATGCCATGTCAGCCGTCCAGATCCGGTTTTGCCGATTTCGCTTGCGGCATGCGTGGTCATTCGACTCCATGCCGCTTAAATGTTTCAGAATCTTGCCCTTCTGCCACCCTAAGCGCTTCCGTTTGGAGGGTGCCTGGGGTCGCGGGCTGGGAGTTGTACACGAATCGATCGTTGTGCAGGACGTCTTGAGGCTGCGACATGTTGCTACACTCCCGTCTGCAAAGCTGTTCTTGGCTGTCACTATTGATGTTTGACTGGCCGCAGCCCGCAAATGCCTCCTAGACGTCCGGCACAATGCCATTGCGGCTTCCCGTGCACAAAACCCTAAAGACAAAAACCGGTGAAGGTGTGGCGTTGCACCTCCTACCTTAACTTCTACCTGCGTTAAAACTCTTGCCTCTTGATCTCGGAAGGCATGGTCATTAGCTGCTTTGATGCACACAAGTCTAGTCGGAGGCTATCACTTCTTGTACTTGTAGTACTTGCCCCAAACCTCCGGATGTCGGTACTTGAAGTACGCGGCTTTGGCCTTGGCTTCGTACTCCGCCTTCTTGGCGTAGCCTTTTGCCTTTGCTGCCTTGATCTTCCAGTAGTAAGGAATCTCCTTCTTGGGGTACTTGCCAAAGTAATCCGGGTGAGTGTACTTGAACGCCTCGGCCTTGCCCTTGGCATAGTAGTACTTCTTCGCGGCGTAGATCTTGGCTTTTGCTGCCTTGATCTTCCAGTAGTACGGAACGTTTGCACCGTAGTAGTGTGACGGCTTGGTCGTGTCGTAGTACGGCTCGGTCGTGTCGTAGTACTGTGGCGTCGTCGACTCGTAGTACTCAGGCGTGGTCGTCTCATAGTACTCCGTGGTTGGCTTGTAGTACTCAGGTGTAGTGGACTCGTAGTACGGAGCCGTGGTCGGCGCAGGTGTGGTCGACTTGTAGTACTCAGGAGTGGTCGTCTTGTATGCTTTGGAAGTGGTTGTGGTTGTGTCTGGTTCCGTTGTGGTCTCGTAGTACTCGCCGTGGCACTCGTGGCAATAGCCCTCCAAGAGGCCTCCCAGCTTGCCACTGGAGTAGCAATCGTCCGTGCAACGGTGCAGACCTTCCCCACGATAACCCAAGTCGTGGCAGATGTCGATGCAGTACTGATGCTCACTTCGGCAGCTGCACATCGACTCATCAGACGCGGCACTGTGAAGCCGGAACTGGAGCAGCCCGGCATCATCTCCGTCCGGAGCGTCGCAGAAGCCGCACTCACAGTAGCGGTCGAAGGTCATCATGACCTTGTCCTGGTTTTGGAAGCAAAGCTCCTCACAGTGAGGGCACTGCACGATGTCACAGACCTCCTTGCACCAGCACTCCATGTCGTAGCACTTGTCAGCATCGTCGCTGGCACACTTGTCAAAGGTGGTCGTGGTCGTCGTGGTCTTGTAGTCATCGTCATCACCCCCAATGTGGTCACAGTCGGCACAGTAGTCGAAGATGTCATGGACCAGGTCGAACGACTCCATGCACTTGTCCTCGCACGGTCCACATGTTGAATCCCCACAGTAGAAGCCATCGTAGCACAGGTCTGCGCAGAAATGATGCCGATCACGGTCGCCCTCTTCGCAGTAACCATCGAAAACATCCCAGATGTAGTGGATGTCCTGGTGGCAGTACTCGTAGCACTTCTCCCCCAGCGGGTACACCATGAAATCCGTCTTGCAGATTTGCTCGCAGATGTTGTCTGTGGTGCAAGAATCTACTCCATCAGACATGCTCAGGAAGGACTCTTTCCCGACTACCTGCTGCGACAGCTGTGCCTCTTCTGCGTGCACCGCATGCTGCACGCATGCGAACAGCACAAGCAAGGACGCCATGGCCATGCTTGTGCTCAGCACCAGGCCGAGTCAGAGACAAACGGTTCGGTGGGACTTGTGGGACTTCAGCCGATGGCCAGCACACATGTGAAAGCTGCAGACGTCTCTGTGCTCCACAGCCACCAAACGCCTAGCTTAGCATGAAGGCCTCCGTGCAAGAATGACAGCTACGAGCTACCGAGCTCGCTTCCTAAGGCAAAGTCAGCCTCGTCCGTGTGGTCCATGTGCGAGAAGAGCCAAATGGGCTCCTAATGGCGCAGCGTCATGCAATGTGAAGCGATGGGTCGCAACTCACTGGAAGACTCTCCTGCAAAGTACAGCAGTTCCACTTACACCACCTATCGCACACCGAATCTACGCCCTTTGGAAGACAGGGGTGCCTCGGGGCTTTCTTAACTTCCACATCATGCAGGCTTCAACTACTGCAGGAAGTGCCTCCACAATGCTGGAGCAGCTGGCCATGTGCTGGCTTGCAACCCGCTTCACCCACTACCCCAGACAATCCAAGCATTAGGCCCGAAATATAGGAGATTATCGGAGAGAGAGAGAGAGAGAAAAAAAGAGAGAGAGAGAGAGAGAAAAAAAAAAAGAAAGAGAGAGAGGTGTGGAAGGAAGGAAACCACATAGGGTTTTAGGGTTTTAGGGTTTTAGGGTTTTAGGGTTTTAGGGTTTTAGGGTTTAGGGCTTCTGGGGCAAACGAAATGGCGCAAAGCCTTGAGGCAACGCAGCAGGATGTCAAAGGATCGTCGGCAACAAGGATTTTCAGATGACCGGTTGTTAAGAACCTATAATAATAATGATAATGATAATCATAATAATCTCCCTTTTGGGGGCCTTTGGAAAACACAGAACCCGACTTTGAAAATGCTATCGATTCTCAGAGCCCTCATATAAAACAACCCCTGCACACGCCACATGCGCATACTGCACTTGCGATGAAAGCTGTCCCCTAAACCCTAAACCCTAAACCCTAAACCCTAAACCCTAAACCCTAAACCCTAAACCCTAACTTGCATGGTCCAGGCATGTCCAGGAGGTACACCCTTCGACAGAAACAGGCTTCTGTAGAAGCCCCTTGGAAGGCCGGATGAAACCTTGAAGAAATCCGGCTCAATCCTTAGCCTTAGCCCCTAGGTGAACACCCTAACCTGTATGAAGTCTCTAAGAAGTCGAAGCCCTGCAGCACTGCAAAGCAACTTTTCGACCAGTTGCCGCAGATGTGGCAGCGGGGTGGGTCTTCGGGTCCTCTCCAGCCCGCTTGAGATGTAGGGGGAGCACCCACAACAAAAAAACAAAAACCAAGTGGAAAAAGCACCAAGAGCTCCTTGAAGGCTTCACGGACTCCTCGGGCGATGTAGCTCTGAACCACCTCCTCTGCGTCTCACAGGAAATCCATGCCCTGGCCGATTGCGGGGGGATGAGGGCTTAGGGGCCGCGAGAGCGCGGGGCAAGATGGCGCAAGCAAACGCAGCTGCCGTGTGCCTGCCGCCTGGATCGCCGTCCTTGGGCAGACCACTTCGGAATACTGTCCCTAAAACCTAAACCCTAAACCCTAAACCCTAAACCTTAAACCTTAAACCCTGAACTCAACTAGAACTGCTCTAATGCTTCCACTGCGCTGCATTCCCAGGCTCTCAGGAGAGCAGGACTCCTCGATCTGTAAGCAACAGGAGCTGACCTCGGCACAACAGGGTTTAGGGTTTAGGGTTTAGGGTTTAGGGTTTAGGGTTTAGGGTTTAGGGTTTAGGGTTTAGGGTTTAGGGTTTAGGGTTTAGGGTCTGAGGGCTTCAAGGAGGGACTCTCTGCTCCTCAGCGTAAGTGGCGGACACCAGCCAAGGGAGCATGGCCTGCGCCACCACTGCAAGGGTTTAGGGTTTGGGGTTTAGGGTTTAGGGTTTCGGGTTTAGGGTTTAGGGTTTAAGGCTCAACTTGTGATATCCCCATGCAAGCCCGGAGGTGGCAGGCATCGCCAGGCAGAAACAAGGACGTGCCTGGGTCTTCGGTACCGGTGGAACTGGTGCGGGTGCTGGCAAACCCGGACCTTGCCAGACAACAAAATAGCGCCACTCTTCTTGTTACTTCTATTATTACCATTCTTACTATCACACTCTTACTAGTACGATTAGTACTATTACTATGATTAGTATGATTACTCATATCATTACTGACACCATTGTTGCTACCACTATGAGGACAGCCCTAACGGGTTCTCGCCCCCCAAACACCCCTAAACCCTAAACCCTAAACCCTAAACCCTAAACCCCCAAGAGCGCGGCCGCGCCTGGCGGCGCGGCCGCCGGGACGGAGGCCTGGCCACCGGGAGCTCCCAGCGGCGCCTTTGGAGAAGGGTTTAGGGTTTAGGGTTTAGGCGGTTTAGGGTTTAGGGTTGAGGGTTTAGGGCTTAGGGCTTAGGGCTTAGGGCTTAGGGCTTAGGGGTTAGGGCTTAGGGCTTAGGGGCTGGGAGTGTTTCCCCTTCTTTAAGACCTAAGAGGGATTGTAATGGTTCGACGGTATAAGGGAACATCCCAAGGTCCAGGGATTAAGGTTTAGGGCTTAGGGCTTTCTACCCTTTTAAAAGGCCCTAGATGCTGGAGATCCCCGAGAGTACGCCAGCTACAGGGCAACTCACTGTGACATAAGAATGCGTCGCAAGGAAGTGACAAACTCGCGATTGACGCAGATGTTGGTGCGTGGGGACGTGACGTGAGGAGCAACACCATGATGAGTCCAGGGTTTAAATTTCCTGAAACCCTGCAGCTACTCAAATCATCCATGAAGCAGCTACAAAAACCCTAGACAGACCTAAACACATAACCGTGTGAGCTCGCTGCAAACACCGAGGAAAGCCAGTTCGAGGATGCCCCGCAGAATAGCCGACCAGAACATCAACCACCACCGAATCGTGAAACTGTTGGGCGTCAACGCACATGCTCGGACGATCTGTGATGACATCAGGGACGGCTTTTCTGGATGCGAACTTGACTATGGGCTGCAGACTCCATCCCGCCAGCATGGACAACTCCAGAGGATGGCCTTCTTGATGAGAACTGTGATGTCCACGGGAATGCTGTTCTTGTTGGGCTGCTGCACCTGTTCATATACTACACTGGACCCATGTGGCAACCCATGTGGCGACAGTGAATCTACATTGGGGGGGCGATGTCTTCTTCCCGATAGACGGCCTTGATGTCTGTCAGGGCAAAGCTACATGGTGACAAACTTCGAAGGTACCTTGTGGAATTTTGGCCGCTCAGCAAAGCAAAGCGAAACGAAGCAAGGCGAAGCACATCAGAGCGGCCGCAACAACTGAGGTTCCAGACCCCATGTCAACGGCATAAGCTCGACTACGATCAACTGCGATACTGTGTTTCAGGACGTCTGCTGCAGCTGTTGCTTGGAGTGTGAGAATGCCGTTTGTGTACAAAAAGTTGTGTCCTGTGGCATAGCCACAAATATGAAAGCATGTGCTGACCAACTGCTGCACGAGGGCTATGAGAACATGCAAACACCGCAATCCTCGAACGGGTCGCTGGCTTTACGGGTCACAGCACTTCGAGCTAACGATGCAACTACCCATTCTGTAGCTGGTTCGCTACGTGTGGCTGCTGGCATACACACGGCCGCCGATAAAGGTCGACTCTAAACATCCAGATTTGGGGCTTTTTCGGGCCTTGGGCAACTGCAGAGTATCACAGTCGCGTGTGCCACTGATGCACGGAAAGAACTTTTCTTTCGTCGGTAAGCGATAGTCGTGAACAAGGGCTGCCACAACAAGCAACACGCTCAGGATCCATGAAAACCAAATGACGAAGTAGGCAGGTGTCCCGAAGTAGGGACTGTTGGCGAGACGGACGTCGAAGGGGTAGAATACGCAGGCGAAGTACGTGCAGATCCCCAGCATTGTCCACAAGGACACCGTGTATGCGATGAAGCTACCGCTTCTGGCTGCCAAAAAACAGCCGACTCCCAAGAACAGACAGTACATAGCCAAGGCTTTGATGAGCAACACCTCCAAGCCGGTAGGATTGTCTTGTCCCATCAGCTTCACCATGTCGTATGCGAACATGTACATTGGCACAAAGCACCACCACAGAGCAGCTCCAAAGTAGAGAACTTTTGGGCCCCAGTACGCCATTGCTCTTTTGATCCTTTGCTTTTGCGCTGTGGTGTGTTTGCCAATGTTGATTTGAGATGAGTTGCGACTCATCAATCTCATGCCATGCTGTCTCGTTGCTGAATCTCACGTCTGAACAGCCGGCGGACGAATGGTACAAAGGCTTCTGCGCAACTCCCACAGCCTTGGACATTGAAAAATTTTGAAAGACGTCGAAGCCCAAGATTTGACGTCCATGAATCCACAACCCCATCAAACCCAAACCGGACAACCCTACATCCTAACATAGCAACATAACAAAGCGATGTAACGGTGCCCTCAGAACATCTGGAGGTTTGCAAAGCCCGGTGTGGCGTGCTATCCAAAAGCAAGGCAGGGCTGAAGGGCGGGACGGTAAAATGTATTCCAAAGTTTGCTGTAACGAGGTGGACCTTGAAAGCTTGCGTCAAGATGATGTTGCAACAAAGCGGGCACGTGATGGCACGTGTCCATGGGTCCAGGCTCTTCAGCATGCATAACACAACGCTGTGCGGCCTCCGCGTTTTTGTTCCTGTTCTTGTTTGTCTGCAGCATTGCCTGAGTCCTGTCCTTTTGTTTAAAAAGGAAAAGGCACAGTTCGATTTCTGTTGGTTGTTGATGCTTCGGATTTCCGTAGATTCTGTTTACGCATGGCCGAGACTCCGGGGAAGAGGGGGGCCCAGAGGAGGGTAGTGTGGGATCACAGGAATTCAGGCACCCCGCGGGGGGGGGAGAGGGGAGGGGGAATCTGTCAAAAAACCTTTTTTTGATATGTCCACTACGACGACAGGATGAGAAGAGCCGCCTACGTGCAATGGAAGCATTGTGGCGGGAAGCATTGGGAATGCACACCAAGATGTCCGCGTTCATACAACTAACTATTGGCACGGTTGGGCAATCCCGAAATGAATTCCGATTGTGGGGCTTGTACATCACGGCTCTTACGCTTCCCCGCGGCTTTCACATACTGAGTACTAGTGCAAACGGTGGGAAGCGTGGGGCGGGACTCAGAGCACTGAGAGCAGTGGGAGTGCTGGGTACAGGGATGTGGGTAATGGGCCGACGCGCTTTTTCAAACCTTCGCTGGCGACCGGGCCAGAAGCTGCGCAGCCGCTCGGTATGGCAGCTTGCGCTGGAGGCCCCGCGCGAAGTTCACCAGGTGGTCCTGTAAAAGGTGGCAGATGTACCAGATGATACCAGATGTAACACATGTGGTGCGTGTGCCATGGAGCGACTGGAACCTGATTCCTCTAGCCACGCGGCCCCCCCGAATTCGAAAATTGCGCCAGGCGGCTGCGGTCTTTGGGTCGCGATTGAACTGCTGGCGGTACAGGGTCAGGAGCTCCTTGCCCAAGGATAGTTCGCTGCCAAAGTGCTCCCGTTTGCGCATTGCAAGCTGCAACACACATCTTGTTGGCACCCACTTGCCTCTGCCAGCCCTCTGCTTTGCCGAGCATTTTCCTCGGCCTGTGCCAGAGTCCACGATTCAAGCCACAGACGCAGGACCTGCATTCCAAAGGGTTCCATACTCGCCTGGCGGTTGCTGGCCCGGAGCTCAGCCCGCGCCTCGGAGCTCAGGCCGTAGCCTTCGCATCCGGTCGCCTAGCAAGCGCCACCGCAGACACCGCAAGCGATAACCTTCGACGAGGCACATCTCCTATTATGAGCCCTATCTGCCCTATCTCCGACCTCAGGCCACAAACTCTTGGGGCCATCAGCACCAGCCTGGCACCCGCGCCCAAGTTGCACGCAGCAACCACGGAACTTTCGATGAAATGGCACTCTGGCCTCTGGTTTGGGTATCTCGCGGAAGAGGCGGCCGCGCTGGCCGCAGTCCTTCAGCACCTGGGACCTGAAGTGGAAACGCCACTGGATACACGAGTAGCCCAGCATCTGGAGGTATCATGAGGTCCACGCGGCCGGCGACACTGCTCATCCCCAGGCGACCCAGTCCTTGAATCAAGTTTCGCAGGCCGGAGTCAAGGGCCAGGGAAGGTGGGCTTGAGGTTTCTGGTTTACGATCGCAACCTTCAAGGCAAAGCCGGATCCTTCAGAAACTGGAGGGCAGAGCATGGCAGTGCCGAGGACTACGAACGCGAATGCTTCCATGCGTGCATCTTATCCGTGCCGGTGGCACAACTTGACTAGAGGAATCACAAGTACCTCACAAGGAAGCAAAAGGAAAAGAAGATATAAGAAAACCAGCAAGGAAGCATGCAACCTCGGGGGAGAGCAGGGGAATCCTCTCTCGACAGTTCAAATTCCACATCCTGAACCGTTTGCCTCGCGGCCTGACTGAGGTCTCAGCAGCAGGGTCGGCAGCATGGCTGCGGGAGATTGCCCTGACGACGCCGGGGATTCGGACCTGAACCCAATCTAATGCAGCAATGAAAATTTTGGTCGGCAGCGACAATTTTGAGGCTTCCGCACTCGCAGCTCGTCCCTCTCCTGCGCCACTTGCGCTGGGCTGGCCTCCCGAACAACCAGCAAAAGAGATATCAAGATCAGGGACAAACTTCTGCTGCAACTGACCCACGCTGGCCTGTCTCAAGTCAGATTTCAACTAGTACAAGTGCTGGGTCGGAGACGACTGCGCTAACATGCCCGTCCTCAGCTTCCTTTCTCTCCAGCTCTGCCGCACGCAGAGCCGTCTCGGCCACCTTCCGCACGGTTTGCAAAAGGACAAGAGGGACGACGCCACCCAGCTGTGGCCGCGTGATGCTACGGCGCCAAAACAAGCACCGGGCACCTGCCGTGCAGTTTGTGCCTCTTTCAGCTCCGACCTGTGGAGAATCATGGTGATGCCACGCTGCACTGCGCTTGTCCGCAAGCCCTGAGAGGATATGCTGAGCTCCGATCTTCAGAATCCGAAGCTCCTGGAGAAACAGAGCAGGCTGATCAGAAAGAGCAGCAGAGGCGCTTTTTCTCACTTGCCCAGTGTGTGGCATATCAACATTTCGTACAAGGGTATTTCCAGGCGTATCGAACATACTCCTGGCTACGGTCTTTACTACTTTTCTATCAGCCTGGAGTATGTCCGGAATTTTGCTGCATATTCGGCATGTGTCGCTGCATGCTTTGCTTATGGAGAAGCGTGGCACATCCACACGTCGTAAAATAGTCCTGACCTTGCTCCGCCACATCAACTACAGCACCAACAGCAGAGTTCACCTGAACAACCCCCGAATTCCATCGTCCTCGTCACGCTTCTCAAGACACGCCACCATGTCTTTCGAGGCAACGCCTGCCTCTTCCAACCTGGGAGTCGCGACAAAAAGCTGCCTAACTAGCACTACTTCCGCAATGCTACTTTGCCAGCATAAGCTGCAAGCTGGCGTTTGAGTTGCCACGTTAGCGCCTTCGAAACGAAATATTCCAAACGCTAGAAACTTTCACGCGCAAGTGTTACGCTCTGGCCTGCTCTTGCTGCCCAGACCTCACGAGCCAGGTAGAACCAGATGAACATCCGTCCCCGTCCTATGCCTAGCACCATCTGAGACTCCCGCGCTAGTAACTCGTCCCTCTCCTGCGCCAGCTGCACTGAGCTGGCCTCCGCACAGCCCCAGGAAGAGCTCAAGAGCAAGCAGGCGCCTCGAAGGACACCAACGCCTGCAAAGTTGCTAGCTTCTGCTGCAGCTCAGCCACGCTGGCCTGCCGTCCATCAGGTTTCAACCGGCACTTTACAAAAGTGCTGGCCCGCAGACTGTACTCATGCACCCATCCTCAGCTTCGTTCCCGGCTGTCTCGGCCACCTTCTGCATAGGTTGCTAGGACAAGAAGTACAGTGGAGCCAGTTGTGGCTGCGCGATGCTACCGTAGCTGCTGCAATGCCCAAACTAGCCCCGGGCACCTGCTGTGCAGTTTGTGCCTCTTTCAGCTCCGACCTGTGAAGAATCATGGTGATGCCATGCTGCGCTGCGCTTCTCCGCAAGCCCTGCGAGGATATGCTGAGCTCCGATCTTCAAAAGCTGAAGCTCCTGGAGAAACTCCCTAGCTTGCAGCGGTATGTCAACAGCATTTACAGCACCAGCAGTTGCAGAGTTCACCCTTACAACGGCCCGAATTCCTTCACCCAGTGTCCTGGTTTTGCTGTTTAAGCAAAGCAATCATTTCTTTCGAGGCGACGCCCGCCTCTTCCAGCCTGGGGTGGTGCAACAAAGAGCTACAAACTTCCGCATGACATGATACTTTGTCAGCATAAGCTGCAAGCTGGCGTTCGAGTTGCCACGTTAGCGCCTTCGAAACGAAATATTCCAAACGCTAGGAACTTTCACGCGCAAGTCCGCGCAAGTGTTACGCTCTGGCCTGCTCTTGCTGCCCAGACCTTACGAGCCAGGTAGAACCAGATGAACGTCCGTCCCCGTCCTATGCCTAGCACCATCTGAGACTCCCGCGCTAGCAGCTCGTCCCTCTCCTGCGCCAGCTGCACTGAGCTGGCCTCCGCACAGCCCCAGGAAGAGCTCAAGAGCAAGCAGGCGCCTCGAAGGACACCAACGCCTGCAAAGTTGCCAGCTTCTGCTGCAGCTCAGCCACGCTGACCTGCCGTCCATCAGGTTTCAACCGGCACTTTACAAAAGTGCTGGCCCGCAGACTGTACTCATGCACCCATCCTCAGCTTCGTTCCCGGTTGTCTCGGCCACCTTCTGCATAGGTTGCTAGGACAAGAAGTACAATGGAGCCAGTTGTGGCTGCGCGATGCTGCCGTAGCTACTGCAATGCCCAAGCTAGCCCCGGGCACCTGTCGTGCAGTTTGTGCCTCTTTCAGCTCCGACCTGTGAAGAAGCATGGTGATGCCACGCTGCGCTGCGCTTCTCCGCAAGCCCTGCGAGGATATGCTGAGCTCCGATCTTCAGAAGCTGAAGCTCCTGGAGAAACTCCCTAGCTTGCAGCGGTATGTCAACAGCAGTTACAGCAACAGCAGTTGCAGAGTTCACCCTCACAACGGCCCGAATTCCTTCACCCAGTGTCCTGGTTTTGCTGTTTAAGCAAAGCAATCATTTCTTTCGAGGCGACGCCCGCCTCTTCCAGCCTGGGGTGGTGCAACAAAGAGCTACAAACTTCCGCATGACATGATACTTTGTCAGCATAAGCTGCAAGCTGGCGTTCGAGTTGCCACGTTAGCGCCTTCGAAACGAAATATTCCAAACGCTAGAAACTTTCACGCGCAAGTGTTACGCTCTGGCCTGCTCTTGCTGCCCAGACCTCACGAGCCAGGTCTAACCAGATGAACATCCGTCCCCGTCCTATGCCTAGCACCATCTGAGACTCCCGCGCTAGTAACTCGTCCCTCTCCTGCGCCAGCTGCACTGAACTGGCCTCCGCACAGCCCCAGGAAGAGCTCAAGAGCAAGCAGACGCCTCAAAGGACACCAACGCCTGCAAAGTTGCTAGCTTCTGCTGCAGCTCAGCCACGCTGGCCTGCCGTCCATCAGGTTTCAACCGGCACTTTACAAAAGTGTTGGCCCGCAGACTGTACTCATGCACCCATCCTCAGCTTCGTTCCCGGCTGTCTCGGCCACCTTCTGCATAGGTTGCTAGGACAAGAAGTACAGTGGAGCCAGTTGTGGCTGCGCGATGCTACCGTAGCTGCTGCAATGCCCAAACTAGCCCCGGGCACCTGCTGTGCAGTTTGTGCCTCTTTCAGCTCCGACCTGTGAAGAATCATGGTGATGCCATGCTGCGCTGCGCTTCTCCGCAAGCCCTGCGAGGATATGCTGAGCTCCGATCTTCAGAAGCTGAAGCTCCTGGAGAAACTCCCTAGCTTGCAGCGGTATGTCAACAGCAGTTACAGCAACAGCAGTTGCAGAGTTCACCCTCACAACGGCCCGAATTCCTTCACCCAGTGTCCTGGTTTTGCTGTTTAAGCAAAGCAATCATTTCTTTCGAGGCGACGCCCGCCTCTTCCAGCCTGGGGTGGTGCAACAAAGAGCTACAAACTTCCGCATGACATGATACTTTGTCAGCATAAGCTGCAAGCTGGCGTTCGAGTTGCCACGTTAGCGCCTTCGAAACGAAATATTCCAAACGCTAGAAACTTTCACGCGCAAGTGTTACGCTCTGGCCTGCTCTTGCTGCCCAGACCTCACGAGCCAGGTCTAACCAGATGAACATCCGTCCCCGTCCTATGCCTAGCACCATCTGAGACTCCCGCGCTAGTAACTCGTCCCTCTCCTGCGCCAGCTGCACTGAGCTGGCCTCCGCACAGCCCCAGGAAGAGCTCAAGAGCAAGCAGACGCCTCAAAGGACACCAACGCCTGCAAAGTTGCTAGCTTCTGCTGCAGCTCAGCCACGCTGGCCTGCCGTCCATCAGGTTTCAACCGGCACTTTACAAAAGTGCTGGCCCGCAGACTGTACTCATGCACCCATCCTCAGCTTCGTTTCCGGCTGTCTCGGCCACCTTCTGCATAGGTTGCTAGGACAAGAAGTACAATGGAGCCAGTTGTGGCTGCGCGATGCTACCGTAGCTGCTGCAATGCTCAAACTAGCCCCGGGCACCTGCTGTGCAGTTTGTGCCTCTTTCAGCTCCGACCTGTGGAGAATCATGGTGATGCCATGCTGCGCTGCGCTTCTCCGCAAGCCCTGCGAGGATATGCTGAGCTCCGATCTTCAGAAGCTGAAGCTCCTGGGGGAACAGAGCAGGCTGACCAGAAAGAGCAAGCGCGGCACAGGTGCACTTGCACAATGTCCTCATCCCGCTGCTTAAGCGAAGCCGCCATATCATCACACGCAACGCCCGCCTCTTCCAGCCTGTGGTGGGAGGGGGGGGCGGAACAAAGAGCTATGAACGTCTGCTTGACATGATACTCTGTCAGCGTAAGCTGCAAGCTGGTGTTTGAGGTGGCACGTCAGTGCCTGCAAAAGAGCCAAGTTCTTGGAAAAGCGCATGCGCAAGTATTACTCCCTGGCCTGATCTTGCTGACCAGACCTCACAGGCCAA